CATTAGAGGCGGTTGCCTTACTAGTTTCCTCCCTTGCCCAGCACGCGTCTAGGAGATAATTCCCTGCTTTCTGAGAAAAGGTGGCTGTTTTTTGTGTTTTCCAAAGAGCCCATCCAAAGTCCACTTGGCTAGTTAGGGATTGTTCGTCAGAATTTTTACCTGAGGTCCGACCTCGAACGTAGCCGTCCCCTATAGAATGGCAAGCCGGTCTTAGTCCATTTCCTCTTGATCTTATCCTAGGCGGAATGTTTTTGTCGGCATCACTGTGTTTGTCTTTGTCAGGGTACATTTGGATGGCAGCCAATGACTGAAACATCTTGATACACCCTTCTTTTAGCAAGAATATCTCGCTTTCTTGTTCCGTCTATGACGGATTGGGTATAGTTCTCGCGATGACCTGCGTTCAGAAATCTGTGCACGTTGCTGATAACCACCCGCTTCTACGATTAGTTTGCTGAAAGTTTCTAATGTGATGAGCCTAGTGAGACCCTGAGGTGTTTCAAACTGTGCCAGTTGGTCTGCGCTATAAACTTGTCGCAGTTCTTAAGTCAGAGGGAGGATCGCCCACCTCTATCTATGTGAGCGCCTCTACAGTACCTGCGTATCCCTAGCAATCATATGATAAAAAGTTCATCTCAGTCACAAATCACCAGTTAGGAAAAACTGATGTTCATATAAGCGCTCTTCTTGCCCTTCTTCCTTATTCATTGCCGACTCTAAGATAGCAGCTACAACACGCGTTCTATTTAGGTTTACAGTCACCTTGCCGCCACCAGGAAGACTCGCCACCAGCTTTGATTTCTTCTGCCATCTGCAGATTCATCTCTCTCTCTTTTATGTCTCCGATTTTTATGAGGAGGATACTGGCATTTACGAACCCGAAGGTCTGAATCTCACACCAAGTTGTGCACGATATTTGAGGTACATCGTGAAATCGCGGCCTTCGTAATCTCCAAATAAGCCAATACGCGCTAGAATAAGCTCCATCTCGGACGAAACGCATGTTTCGGATACATCGACGTCTCTCAAATGTTTTTTTAAAGCTGTATGCCCACGAATTTAGAGGTGTGAGCTGTTGCTGTCCCTGGCCAGCGCGAGAAAAGTAACATTTGGTTCTACAGTTAGTTGCAAATGAACAAGACAACTGCACCATCTTGACTTTATCAATTCGAGTGTTAGATTGAATTGAGGGCTTTTTAGACACTCGATTTCTTATATGGCATCACTATGAAGACGTAATACAACTGATACACCTACACTACATAGGATTAACATTGTCTGTTGCGCTGTTGCTAGAAGGAGGAAAATATGACCGGAAGTGTACGCTCTTTTTAAAAAGAGTTTTAGAGACGTTTCAGAGATGTCTATCTTTGATCGGCTGTCACAAAAAAATGACCCCCACTTCAATTTACAAGGAAAAATGAACTTACCAACTCCTTGTTGAAAAAATTGGAATTCATTTAACCGATACGCCGGTTGTTTCAATTTTTCTTTTTCCTCGGGCTGCTATGAAACAGTTCATAAATTGACTAATGAATAAAGTGTTTTGAAATACCGTTCGGGATTTGCCTTTTTTTTCTGCGTACAAATCAAGGGTAGACAAAGTTTTTAAACATTTGACTAGATTTTCATGGAGTTCACCTGGATAATTTTCGTCGGCCAGAGTCAAGACGCGCCAAGCTAAGCGACATAGCCCTCCAGTAAAAAAATTTTCCAAAGAATAAACGTGGCGAGCGCGAGGAAACGCACATTTGACGATAGTAGACTTCATCAAGGATTTTTCAAGTAGGGTAAATAAATAAACGCTCATATACAAATAGTAAATAAGTTGTCTCTTTACTATTGAGGTCAGTGGATAGAATACGCCAGGTGCGCCTACGGTGTTATACATGCGTGACATTTTCCGGACGTTACATGTACGAGTACGTGATCCGTTTAAGGGTCACAGATTTAGTGTAAATATTTCACTCCTCAACATCACCCAATGTCTCTAGTTTACAGAGGTCTTAGAACGTTTCCTTATATGGAGTTGCCTTCTGCGGGTAGAAGGCTACAAGCGAATTTCTCAGGCGTAATTGCCTTTGATTTCTCAATTGATGTTGTCGCAAACGCAGTTTTTGGGAGTCACGAGACAAAAAACTTATCAGGACCTAGTTTCATGTTCTAATGGAAATAAATAGCAAATAAAAACACATTTTCTTGAGAAATAAAGTCACAAATGAGGGGTTCTCTGAAACAAATAGTGATAGAAGAGGATTTCAGTTCTGGTCAATATTGACTTTTCAAGGCCTAATTCCAAATCTGAGGGAACGTGCTGAGGGAATAAAAAAAACATAAATGTGTGATAATGGAAGCAAGAGAATGAAAATACAAATAAAGAAAAAGGAGAAAACATAGGAACCCGTGTTGCAGCGTGCAGATATCTTTTGAACCAGACCTACACACATAAGCCCGACACCAGCCAGGGAAACTCGAAAGAGTCCTGTATATGAACTAGCTAGCACATGCACGCAGGAAAGGCCATGACAATCAGCGAAAATAATAGCAAATGCAGATGACATTTGCATTCAAAAAACAGGAAAATAAGATAATAGAAGGATTAGGAACTTTCTAGAAGTGCCTTCTTGAAAAAAAAGATGAACAATTTTACTTCTCATAAAAAGGTCACGCAGTGACCCTACAAATACTATTCCTATACGTGGAATTTCTTGATGGTGGAAAGTGGAAAAACATTTTCCAGTCTTATTTTCTGGAAACATGGCGTAGTTAATGAATTCATGGGGCTATTGATATTTCCTAACAAATAAGGAGGGCAGAGTTTCCCGTCAGTCGCGGTATGGAAAAGCCGAAGTTGTTACACTCAGGAACTTTTACGTCAACAAGCAGGCGACATGAGACTTTAAAATCTCCTCTCCTGTTACAGTTTCCTTATCGTAAACTGTACGATAATGATAATAGACGATCAAAGTATAGTCTAATGAATTTTTTGTTCTGTACAAGAGCCCTATGTCCTGATTTTAGCAAATCTTCAAAGTAATAAACGACTGAAGAAAGAAACGCTACGATCTTCCCATTGATCTTCCGTCAACATGCATCTCTCTAAACGTGAAATTTTCCATTCCTACGAAAAACCTCGAAAGTTTTTCACAGTTTTCACCTTTCTTGACCAATCAACTTGTATAAAGAGCTAAAAAATGTAGGTTTATTTTGTCAAGTGACCGCCTAGAGCAAGAATTGCGTGACAGGTGTAGTTGAGAGAAACTTGTCACAGTCGCAGATTTTAAAAGGTATCCAAGACAAAAATACGGTAGTGCCCAAAGATTTTTTTGATGATTTTCAGAGATGAAATGATGGGTTATAAAGGGTAATTAAGATTAGTGTTGTAGCTTTCTGGCAACGGGAGATATTTGACCTCAAAGTTGTAAAATATTTAGATGAATCGAAAAGTCTAAAACCAAAGTCGTATATTTGCCTCTGTTCATTGACAAGCCGTCAATCAAACTGACTGATACTCGCGGCGGCCATTAACTAAGGATGTAAAAATATGTGTGCAAATTCTCAAAGTAATCAGTTAAATACCATCGCAGTTAAAGCTTCATAAATTTTACCTATTTGAAGCGATTTCCTTGGTGAAAACCAAGAAAAACCGGGGGGGGGTGGTCTATATCCACCCGGAAAAAACCAAAACAGAAACCAGTCTGTTTTTTGAGTTTTGGGGTAGACCCTTTAAACTGACAAAGTTTCTTTGAAATCGGCGAGATGGCATGTAGCGCGACTACCCGGTGCTCTCGTGGACGCGCTCTTAAGTCACTATCTAGTTGTTTTAAAAAGAAGGATCAGGACTTACCTAACTTTTAGTGTTTTTGTGGGAGTTGTTGATCCCAATTTAAGTGTTCTTAGAAGTTTCAGTTGTCTGTAAAGCTAAATAAATCTAACTGAAACCTAATAGGGCCTGTTTATTCTTTTCCGTTTAGTTTTTTTGTATTGTTTTGTTTTGCCTTTTTTTTTCTTCTGGTCTGTGATGATTTCAATGGTTTCAGGTTCTTTTCTCAGAATTGAGCTACAGTAATAGTATGCTTCTTTGTGTTGTTGCCTACAGGAGCCGCTGCTTGTATTGAATTGAAGAGATTTGAAGAAGCAATCACTTGGTGTGATAAGGGACTAGCTGTATCCTTTGAAGGAATCTTTCATTTCTAACCGTGCGTATAATGGAAAAATGTTTCCAGCTCATATACTTTCAAGGCAGAAAATACAAAGAAGGGTATTAATTATGATGGGAACTTGTCAGCTCATATACTTTAAGTGTGTGTGATTAAAAACATAGGAGAAGTTATTACCTCATGACTTATTAATGAAATTACTCCTTTTAGCCAATTTGACTTAGTTCTACTATCCATGCCAATAACTGGTACATTAGTTTAAATAACCCTTTAATTTCCCAGACCAAATTTGTAATTATCCTTACAGTCAGCCATACAATTCTTGTAATGTTAGTACAGAGAATTCAGTATTGCATCAACTAACTATTTTGAAATTGATATATTTTTTTTTACTCTCAACACTTATCTGATTGATATTGTATTGCTATTGTAAGGAGAAATTCTCTTTTGGTCACTCACGGGAGTTAAAGGGTTAGAAGACTAATATTCATTCAGTTTATACATAGTACTTGGGTAGAGGATCTCTCTAAAACAAGCCAGAACAAAAAGCTCTTTATTGTTTACATATCTTATGCAGATTTTCTGCCTTCGACCTTTTGCTTCTACTTAGAGACTCAGAAACTTTCGTTGTGCTTTCCTATGGACAAATAAAAATTTTAAAGATATGTATTTATTTTATATATTTTTGTTTTTTCCACATTTTTAACCCTTAACATAAAAAAGATTGACAAAAACAATAGGATCTTGTCGTCATTAAGACTTCAGTCTGTCAGTGAAGTGGGAGATAAGTCCATGGAGGAAAAAGATCCTATTAGTCATGACCACGGTAGTGCAAGTTCAGGTGATGTCAAGAAAGTCATAGATCTCTATAATCAGGGAAAAGAAGCCATAGAGTACAACAACCTAGATCTTAAAATAGCTAAAGAAGTAGGAGACAAGCATGGGGAGGGTAACGCTTATGGCAATCTTGGCAATGCTTATCACCGTCTGGGTGATTTCAAAAAAGCCATAGAGTACCACAACCTACATCTTAAAATAGCTAAAGAAGTAGGAGACAAACATGGGGAGGGTGGTGCTTATGGCAATCTTGGCAATGCTTATGACCGTCTGGGTGATTTCAAAAAAGCCATAGAGTACCACAACCTACATCTTAAAATAGCTAAAGAAGTAGGAGACAAGCATGGGGAGGGTGGTGCTTATGGCAATCTTGGCAATGCTTATCGCCGTCTGGGTGATTTCAAAAAAGCCATAGAGTACCACAACCTACATCTTAAAATAGCTAAAGAAGTAGGAGACAAGCATGGGGAGGGTAACGCTTATGGCAATCTTGGCAATGCTTATCACAGTCTGGGTGATTTCAAAAAAGCCATAGAGTACCACAACCTACATCTTAAAATAGCTAAAGAAGTAGGAGACAAGCATGGGGAGGGTGGTGCTTATGGCAATCTTGGCAATGCTTATCTTAGTCTGGGTGATTTAAAAAAAGCCATAGAGTACCACAACCTACATCTTAAAATAGCTAAAGAAGTAGGAGACAAGCATGGGGAGGGTAACGCTTATGGCAATCTTGGCAATGCTTATCACCGTCTGGGTGATTTCAAAAAAGCCATAGAGTACCACAACCTACATCTTAAAATAGCTAAAGAAGTAGGAGACAAGCATGGGGAGGGTAACGCTTATGGCAATCTTGGCAATGCTTATGTTAGTCTGGGTGATTTCAAAAAAGCCATAGAGTACCACAACCTAGATCTTAAAATAGCTAAAGAAGTAGGAGACAAGCATGGGGAGGGTGGTGCTTATGGCAATCTTGGCAATGCTTATCTTAGTCTGGGTGATTTCAAAAAAGCCATAGAGTACCACAACCTAGATCTTAAAATAGCTAAAGAAGTAGGAGACAAGCATGGGGAGGGTAACGCTTATGGCAATCTTGGCAATGCTTATGACCGTCTGGGTGATTTAAAAAAAGCCATAGAGTACCACAACCTAGATCTTAAAATAGCTAAAGAAGTAGGAGACAAGCATGGGGAGTGTGGTGCTTATTGCAATCTTGGCAATGCTTATCACCGTCTGGGTGATTTCAAAAAAGCCATAGAGTACCACAACCTACATCTTATAATAGCTAAAGAAGTGGGAGACAAATCCTCGGAGGCAATGGCCTACTGTTCACTAGGATTGGTTTTTGAGTTACAAGATAGACTGCCAAAAGCCGTTGAACATTACCAAGCTAGCATAAACTTATTCAATTCCTTGAGAGTACTTCTAATATCTAAAGATGAGTGGAAAGTTAATTTTCGAAATCAGCATCAAGTTGCGTATACGGGTTTGTGGAGAGTTCTCGTAGAACAAGGTAATGTAGATGAAGCCTTATTTGTTGCTGAGAAAGGACGAGCTCAAGCTCTGACCGACCTCATGGAATCCAGTTTTTGTGGTGGAACAAGTCACCACAAGGGAGAAGATGAAGATTGCGCAGTTTTAAAAAACGTTCCATCGAACACTGTCTTTCAGGCAGTGGACAAAGCTAACGTCAATCTTTGGGTTGTGTCCGAAGGAAAACAAGTTCAGTTAAGACAAAGTAAACTCAAAGGTTTTGTTTCAGAGAATAGTGGATCTAGCCTGTCCTTTGAGGCGTTCATGCTCGGTGTCTATACACAACTTGGTGTTCGTTCTAATGTGAGATGCGAGAATCGATCTTTAGATGCTTTGAGGGAGGGCCGTTCGAAAGTGGATGAGAAAACCAAAGAAGCCAAGCCTCAACCTCACATCCAACAAGACGGATGCTTGAGCACTTTGTATGATATCGTTATGAAGCCGGTGGCTGACTTGATTGAAGGGATGAGCTACTCATTATTCCTGATGGACCCCTGTGGATCGCTCCTTACGCTGCATTGAAGGATGGTAATTCTAAATACCTGTGTGAATCGTTCACAATCCGAGTCGCTCCATCGTTAGCAAGTCTTAGACTCATTGCCGATTGCCCAGATGATTATCACAAAAGCAGTGGTGCGTTACTTGTAGGAGATCCGTGGGTATCCGAGGTTACTAACAGCGAGGGAAAGAAAGTCTTCGAGCAGCTTGAGTATGCTAAAAAGAAGTAGAAATGATCGGAAACATTCTGAATATCACGCCGATCACTGGAAGTCAGGCCACGAAACGTGAGGTGTTGAAGAGACTCAGTTCCGTTTCCCCTAGTTCACTTTGCGGCACACGGATGTATGGAAACTGGCGAAATTGCTCTTACACCTGACCCAGACCGAATATCTACTGTGCCAACGGACGAGGATTACATTTTAACAATTGGAGATGTGTTGAATGCTCAACTTCGGGCCAAACTTGTTGTGCTTAGTTGCTGCCACAGCGGCCGGGGCGAGATCAAGGCTGAAGGTGTGGTTGGCATTGCGCGCGCTTTTATGGGGGCTGGTGCTCGGTCTATTGTGGTCTCCCTGTGGGCGATTGATGACGAGGCTACTCTTGAGTTCATGAAACACTTTTATCAACAACTTGCAGGAGGTAAACCAGCAAGCGAGTCACTGAACCTGGCCATGAAAAGCCTCAGAGAATCAGACAAGTTCTGCGACATCAAACACTGGGCGCCCTTTTTGCTGATTGGAGATGACGTCACTCTTGACTTCATGGCAAAGGAAAGAGGAAATTTGAATATGAAATCACATAAATGAAAACTTTTAGTTCATCTCAAAATGAATGACGCAGGAACTTGGAAGGTTTAAATGCTTCTCTATTTTGGCGCTTTTTGGCTATTTTTCATTACTTTTCACTTTTTTTTTGTTAAATGGAACTTGAGATGTGTGACTTTACTTTGGTGAAGAAATAAAACAGACTATTTCAGAATATTTTGTTCAGTGGAATTGCTATTTTTTTACCTTTACAAATTTAGGTGCTTGCGAAGAGAACAAGATGCAACAAGGCTTCTGCTGTTAATGCCTGAAGTTGTTGAAGGCGACTACGAGGTTTTCGTTTCGCCAAAATGACACTCGGATCTGTTCCTTTATTGCAATCAGTTATGTGTAAAATAATTAAAAGGTTTTTTTCTTGTACACAACCAAGAGCTTGTCCACCGGGTTTTAATTACGTAGATACTCTAAGCTTTTGATAAGCAAAGAAACAGCTTGTAATTTGCAAAAGGTGGCGAAATTTTAATTTCAAAATGTGATTTGCAAAATTCTCAGGCATATGTGAATTGATCTTAATGGTTTTTCTACGTCATAAATTACTTTGTTGCAATTTGCAATTATCTTTACAAAAAAGTTGATTATCATTTTCAACTTTTTTTCAATCTAATTCCATCAGTGCCAAGATTGCCATTCTAAGCTTAATTTGAAGAAGTAATCACCAGAGATGATGTTGTTGAATTTACTAACCATATGTTAGAGACATTAGACCTACTCTCAGGGGTGTGGCCAGCCTCTAGTCCCGTGAGCCCGGCCTACAATTGTTTTCCGCCCGCTTGACTTTTCTAATATGACTCTTACAAATGTTGAAACAAAAATTGAAATTTCTCAGGAAAAAGGCCTACAACAAGTCAAAGAGCTGGCTACAACGGCCTGCTTTCAATCAAACGAGTTTGATCAGTTTTAGTCCGTTTTATCAAACACTCATCAGTTTGCTTTAGAGAACGACGACAGAGACAAATTGTCGATGTAATCTAAGCAAGGAAATAGCGAAGCAGAGTTTACTTTAACTGAAGTTTCCATTGCTGTGACTTTTAATGTAGGTGACATGGAATTTGTTGTTTTCATTAGGAAAATATTTACGCCAATAAATTAGGGAAACACTTGAAGTAAGCCATGTAGTCCTCAATGGGAATTATTTTGGTGAAAATGTTCATGAATAAATGTAAATCTAGGCCGTAGTTAAAAAGGTTCAGGGATTCAGGATAAAACTTGCATTTTTGAAAATTTCCTGTTCAAATTTTTTTTTTCATGGCTTTAAATTTACCTTAGTATAATTTGGAGATGTCTGATGATATCTTTCTTAGATTTAAGAATTTATACTTAGGTATTCAGAGCACGCTGTGTAATTAGAACCCGTTATGTGGTCAAAAGTTTAAGGTATACTGTATCACAGCTGTTTTAAAAGAAAGTTTTGTAAAATCAATGTTAATTTTTGACAGATTTTCATAACTACCATTGGTATATGCTGCCAGTATAAAATGTAATAGTTAACCTTGCACATGGTTGAATATGATGTAACGTAGGATTTTAAAAACAAGCTGGGACAATTTCCACTAAACATTCTTTTTATAATGTCAGTGTATTTGGTGTGAATTGTTTTGATGCTATTTGTATTTAAAGTTGAAGCTATTTGTTCATTTACCTAAGTTTTTATTCATTGACTCATTAACTCCCAAGTTGTGAAGAAAAATTCTCCCAACTGATAAGAATGTGTTTCTTTGTTGCTTCATTCTGAGAATTCGATGAAACATAACGTTTCTAGTGAAAAATAATCCGCTAGTTTAGATTTTCTCTAATTCTTATTGACACCATGTTTGTCGGTGCATTAATTTTGGGAGGAGAATTTAAGTTATGATCAATCTTGGGAATAAATGGGTTCATTTTAGTGTCTCTGTTTAGCGCGTACTTTACTTAATGCCTTGAACAATTTAATGCAGTTTGTATTGTACTTTTTTTACTTTTTGTGTAAGAGAACTAGAGAGTGTATAAAATACAAAAACTGCCTTTGTTTTCATATTCTGTCTCCATATTCTAAGGATTCGCGTGAGATGCAGGGAGAACAGATCCTACGGGGACTTCAATGCTTGTTTTGACCCGCGCGCGCTAAGTTGATAATCTTTGCAGCTGACAGTGTACCGACATTCCATGTTTCAAGCCCCCCACCCACTCAACAAACGCTCGTCGACTCTTCGATTGTGTCTCTTTCACTGTCTATCGTTCTCCATATTGTCACACGATTTTGAATGCCGAAGGACGTGTTCATACTGTTACCTGTGTGCGCCCTTTTTACCTTTTTACACCTTTTCACATTTGTGCATCTCTTTTTTCTCCTTCTTTTTGTTCCTTCCCTTTTTTTCATCGTACTTTTCCTTTATTCCCATTTTTACGCGCACTTCTTTCATCGCCCTCAACTTTATTCTTCTACGCGCTTCATTAGACGCGACTATCTCCTTGTCTGTTTCAGTTTTCATTCGTCTCAATCCTCGCGCAACGTCAGGTCCCTTACAACTCATATACCTCCTTACTTCCCCAGAGTAGTTGTTATTATGCTTATTTTGTTCACTTTAGGATGGTGTCCTCTTTGCATCATGTCTAGTAAAATCTTAGTTTTCCTTTCGACTCATTCCCAGTCCACAGGGGGTCTCAATTTTAAGTCTCACTTGCCAGTGTTTGCTCTCCTCGGTCCTCTCATCACAGTAGCAGCTATAAAACGAAAGAGCTCCCTCCAAGTCTCTGCGACATAATCGATGCATTTTGTTGGAAAAGAGTCCTTCAATGTCCAAATTAAGGCTTCTTCTATCATCTGATTGGGAATGGATCATACTCTCGCCCAGGGTCCACCTACATCGCGAGTCCAAGATGGCAGCAGGCCAATCCTCAGACTTCTCCGAGTCGGTAGCCGTCATCTTGGATGTAGACGCAGAGAGGACCTTGAAAAAGTGTTTTGACAAGACAATAATCAAGAAAGGTTAAGTTATTGTAATGCTTCCTAAGAGGTAGTCGATAACAGCCCGAGAGATTCATTAGGAGCAAACACGTTCCGTCGATTATTAGACTCCATGTCTCCTTACGTTGTAGAACAAACTCCTCGAATACGTACGCCTATATGCCCCTCTTCTCCTCCCTAAATAGCACTATATATCCCTTTATTGCAACTTTTAAAATTATACAGCACAATACAACATTATACCCCGGAGTAGCACTGTAAATCCGTAAAATGAAGTAACTGTGCAGCGCCTCACAACAATATGAACCCCTAAATAGTACTATGCTTCCCTCTACTGAATTTTTTTCAGCATACAGCGCTCTATAAACTATTGCTCCAATTTGGCACGAAAATAATTGTGGATATTTGTCCGCGAACATTATCTATTCCAAGATGCCAAGGACAAATATCCGAACATATTTTCGTGCAAAATAGAGGCTATTGTGATTTTTATCCTTGAATTATTTTGCAACGCTCGTGAAAGAATCTTTATGAACAGCTCACTGAATTGAATTAAATTTGAAACGAAGACTTATCGAGGTAGAAGTCAGGTTTGCGAATTGGGGAATATCGCTTGCGTGATATTCTCGGATATCACCCAGTATTAGCTGGGGGATATTTAGTCACTTACTGCGTTTACACCAATTGCGCGCGAGCAAAGATATTTGATGGATCATAAAAAGCAACAAGTACCCCTAGATAGCACTATACTTCCCTCTTCCACAATTTACATCACAATACAGCGCTATAAAACAACATGTACCCTTAAATAGTACTATACTTCTCTCTTCTGCAGTTTACATCACTATAAAGCGCTATACAACAATATCTACCCCTGGATAGCATTACACTTCTCGCTACTGCAGTTTACATCACTATACAGCGCTATACAACAATATGTACCCCTAGATACCACTATACTTCACTCTTCTGCACTCTACATCACGATACAGCGCTATACAACAATATCAACCCATAGATAGCATTATACTCCTCGCTACTGCAGTTTACATAACTAAACAGCTCTATAGAACGATATTTACCCCTAAGTAACCTTGATCGGCATAACAGAATACATACATCGAAATTTTCCATGCTTTGTGTCTTTCTCCAAGGTTCATTAAATACTCGATGAAAACCTTTGCGTCGATCAAAGAAAACGCAGCATTTTCCAGCGCAGTCGTGACTCGTTTGACTTGAAGACACAGAGGTGGCGAGGTGATTAAGACTTTAAATTTCAAACTCTTAAAGGCGTGAAATATTTCTGAAACAAAATCATTCACGAACATCACTATTAATTCTGAATAATGTAAATTCGATTCACGTTTACTTTAGATAATAAATTTTACTCCCCTTTTGCCAATCATACAAAGAAATCAATACACTAAGCAATGCCTTCAACAAGACACAGTTACACAGTTGTAAATCTCCATCCTCATCCTCAGTAGAACTATGCTATCACAAAGGGGGAATAATCGCGGAAGAATAACCGCGCTTAAGACCTTCCTATCTACCTACTTTCACATTTAACGTGACGTTCAGCTAAGATCAGGAAACTGTTTCTTTTGTTCTTCATCACAAACGATTCCAATCCTAATAGTGGTATCATATTTGCATAAGAAAGCTAATATCAACTCGAGACTCTGCATTAATTTTTTTTTGATGAAATGAAACACAACAAACCAAAGATACCACGTACTTAAAACACTAACCGTTTAAACATTTTCTTCCACATGACGCTCTTAACGGGCTCAACGAGCTGCCAAAATTCTCTTCAAATCCGTTTTCGTTCGTGTGATAGCTTGACTTCTATTTCGATTTGACAGTTCAGTTCGACAGTTTGACTGTTAAACCTTAAATGAAGATTTGTAGACACCAGCTGAATAGATTTATGAATTTGCTTAACGGCGAATGAACGCATTGAAATCAAAATTGATTTTCTTTAAGCTCAGCTCACTGAACTACAAGTCTGCTGTCAGATGATTAACGTGGACGCTGTTTAAGGCCCTTAAATTTCTCATTTCTCAATGCGTCAGCAATTGAAATTATTTTCATGAAACTGGGACGCATTTTGTGACACAAATCTTGGCAATAACTGGTGTCAGCCGCAAAGGTACAACGGACGATTACTGGTCATTCTGATTTTTCGGTCATTGCTAACGTAGTGCTTGTGGTCATAAGCATGATCCTAAGCAGACCCTTGCAAAAGTTTCACCATAACTGCAGAGACCTGGAGATTTTCTCTTGATCTTATCTTAAGAGATTTATTTCAAATACAAATGGACAAGTCGCCTTTGGTGAAATGAAATATTCAAACAAAAATGTTTATACAATTCAGCTGTGTAGCCAACCTTGTTGAACTGATTCAAGAAAAACACGAGTGGCCAAGTGTTAACTGAAATGGTTCAGTGTCGAAATGAGAAACGGTTCAGCTAACTGTACTTTGGTGACTTGACACAAACGGTTCAGAGTAGTGTGAAATGGCTTAAGTTATCGGCAAATGGTTAATCGTAAGCCGCAATGGTTTAGTATCGAATCAATCTCCTCACTGTAAAGTGAAATGGTTTAGCGTGACCTCAAATGCTTTAGCGTGACGACAAATGGTTTAGTACAAACCGAAATGGTTTAGCGTTACAACAGTTGGTTTACGCCGTAACCGCCAAAAATACAAAAGGGAAATAGGTAAGTCAAGCTTGAAATGAAACAGTCTATGTGGGCCTGACGTCACAACCTACGTCATTCAGATCCAATTTGGCGCGAAATTCGCCAGAACGAGGTATTCGCCACGCCCTCCACTCGACGTTCACCACGTTCACGTTCCACGTTCACGTTCACGTTATTTCTGTAGCCTCGTCGTCCTTGTCCATTGGACTCAAAGAGCCTCACTCCGGTAATAACCTTTTTCACATTTGCCTATTTTAGCTGGTTAGCGAATAAATTTATACCCTCATCATCTTGCCGCAATATCAGTAAGTAAATGATATTTCGGAACAAAAGGAATAACAAAAATGCATCATTTTACGCGGCAGCACATTTACCGTCTAGACAGTAGGAACCATAGCTAGGAAACGTGATAAAGAGATTCATTGTTTCAAAACAACGAAACTACAACTAAAGGGCGCCTAAAAACTATATAGTTTTTATAGTTTTGAGGCGCCCTTGAGATTCTTATCCTATTCATTTTCAAGCTTGACTTTTCCATTTCACTTTTGTATTTTTGGCGGTTACGGCGTAAACCAACTGCACCAACCGCTGTAACACGAAACCATTTCGGTTTGTACGAAACCATTTGTCGTCACGCTAAACCATTTGGGGTCACGCTAAACCATTTGGGGTCACGCTAAACCATTTCACTTTACGGTGAGTAGATTGATGCGATACTAAACCATTGCGGCTACGATTAACCATTTGCCGATAACCTAGGCCATTTCACACCACTCTGAACCGTTTTTGTCAAGTTGCTGAACCAAAGTACAGTTAGCTGAACCGTTTGTCATTTCGACACTGAACCATTTCAGTTAACACTTGGCCACTCATGTTTTTATTGAATCAGTTCAACAAGGTTGGCTACACAGCTCCTCAATTGTATAAACCATTTTTTGTTTGAATATTTCATTTCACCAGATGCGACTTGTCCATTTGTATTTTAAATAAATCTCCTAGGATAAGATAAATCGTTCTCCAAATGACAATTAGACTCTATCTGTTATTACAAACCACTTTTATTTTTGTATTTTTGGCGGTGACAGCCGCCCATATGTGGGCTCTTCTTTCAATTTCAGTTGGAGAATTTCCAGGCTTCAAGTTTGCACAGATTTATGGCCCAAGGAACTCCCTGTTTCATTTTCACAACGCGCAATTGCGATTCTCCGTTCCATGACATAGCTTTCGAGTCTTTCTTAGTACTTTCTCTGTCTTAGAGACTTTGAAACGTTTTCATGACGGACTGAGGAAGCAAGGTCGTAAAATAGTCAAACGTGCCTTCCATTTCCGCGACAGAGGTAAGAACGCATGGTTGTATCAGATTTTTGAGTGTAAGGTAAATACTTTTATTTTAAATTTTGTTAAGGATATCGAACAAAGAACAGCCTTTTTGTTGATTAGATCAATTGTCAATTACTTTAATTTGCGTGCCTAGTTACGATCTTAGTTACAATGTTTATCTTTTTCCCTATTGGTTTGAAATCGGATATTTTAGCGTCACCACGCGCATATAAAAGCTAAATTAGCGTCCCTATAAGCCAGAGTTTCGTAAGATTTCACCTTGAACAGCAGCAACTTCGTTCCTTCGTTCCAAACCTTTGGCACAAGCGGGACCGATATGTAAGTGATTTTGTTAGTTTTATTTCAATATGTTTAAGTTTAGTTTTTCACCTTGGGCGATAGCGCACATATGTACTGTGTTGTACAACAGTACAACTAATTATCTTGAAATCGAAGGAATATTTTGAAATAACTAGACGCTCACACAGTAACGCCCACATTTTAGTCTTTGGGCTGTTAATCAGCCGCAAATGGTCATTGTGTAGCTGATCTTTGATTCTCGAGTAGTTTTAATTTAGCCTTTTATGATTTGTTTATGTTAATTCACGTTGATTGTTGTTATTTTAATCGCGTTATCGACATAGGCACGTAAAGCGTTTCATTCATGCTTTCGTTATAATGTTGTTGCAATTTCAGTTTACGATCGTGATCGTGACCGTGATCTAAATAAACACCGTTGATAGTCATCTTGGTTTTCGTGGTTTCATTACGACCGGTAAAATAGTTCCCACATCAGCGACAATTAGAAAACACGCATAGCGACACCCCTCGAAGTTCCTCTTTCGTCGCAAGCGTCACAAATTTTTTAGTTGAGATTTCCTCCTTCAAATGTTCCCCATCTTTCCGAACTTTCTCTGATTTCCGACAATGAAAGACGTTCCTGCAGTTAAGTGACGACGATTGCCAACTTTTACTTTATTCTGGCGTGTATTAATTGTATTGCCGCTTCGTGTTAGTTACAAACTTATTAAGCTGAGCTTGTTTGAACAAGTTACAGCTGTCGAATTCACAAAAATTCGCAAGCAATGCCTGGCATTTACCTTGGACAAAATAAGTAATTCGGGAGAGTTACAAAGGATATCCAAATTATCGATTTGATTAAGTGCAAGCTCTTTTGATCGCAACACTTTCAGTTTCGTTTGCGTGTCGTTACCTCGTTTTGTCATTTGCTTCAAAACGAGGTAAGAACAAAGCATCCACATCCTTCAGCCCGATGATGACGGAGAGTACAAAAATCTTTGTGTACAAGATGATTGAGGTTAGCAAATATAGTGATATGCCTATACGGCCAAAGCCATAAGGTTATGCGGTAATTTAAAAATACAACAACCCGGCGAAACTTGAGAAAACCCAAAAGATGGCTACAATGAGATATGTGCGCTTCAAAGTTACAGTATGTCTGTATCTCAGCCCCAACAACAGGGCTAGAAGCCTGTCCACGCTTATGGCCGTCATCGCTGACAAAGACACTCCGCATAATGTATAGCTTATTATGTAGGCTGCGTCCCTTGCGTATCGACAGAGACTCCAGTGTTCGTGAACCAAGGACATGTAGTAAGTAACCATGATAGACTGGCTAAAAATGCCAACCATCAGGTCAGTTGTTGCCAGACTACGATACAAGAGTTTGTGAAGGGCAAAAAAGATAAGAGAATTCCCAAGACTGGTTATGAAGGAGAGAAGAACGTAAACTGCTGAGTAGTAGATGGATTGTGGTTGAAATCTATTTACCAAAGAAGGGGTGCTCCATCTTCGGTTAGATTTGTGTCCGCTATCATTCTGCAGTCGTTTAGTTTTTTCCTTCCGAATACGTATGATCGCAAAAGGAAATATTTCGTCTTGAGAGCACCTGCCCAGCGTTGATCACTTAACCTTTACTTTTTTCAGAATAATCATATGAAAACTTTTTCAGTCGCGTTTACTCGTTTGAAATGCTCGGAAATACTGTCAATTGTGTACAAAAAAAATGGTGAACCATTTTTCTTAAAGCCTTTCTTTTGCCTCAGCTATGATTTATCAAAACGAGGTGAGAACAAAACATCTGCGAATGTTAATATTTTATGGCGCGATAGATAATCCTTCGTCGCTCAGACGAACAATCATTTTATTCAGGTAGAGCGCATTTATTGAAAACGAGAGACAATGCTTTGTCAAAAAAAATTATTCATCATTTAATTTCGTTACTCAATAATAAATTTCTTCGCTTTTTCTTCAGGTTACTTGTAACTGCATGTAACGAGAGATATTTTTGTCTTGAAAGCGCCTGCCAGGCTGCAATCACGTAGACCTTTTCATTGAAACTTTCTCAGTAATGCGGTTCACTTATTTAACGTGCGAATACTCAATGCTTCTTCTGTCACATGAGCTGTTAATTTCTTCCCAGGAGTCGCATTAAATATAGCTTTTTGTAAATTTCTTTGTAACGGGTAATTCTGTCATGTTATTCCATCAATAAACTCTAAAAGTTCCCTCCAAATTTAAGAAAGGTTTTTTTTATAGCAAACTTCCCTGCAAATTATCTTTGTTAATTAAGAGAGGCTGGATGTTTGTCGCCTAACTGTGTTGCGCGGTAAGTTTAATCTTTGAATAACTTTGCGCTAAGAGGTAAAAATAAAAATAAATAATTTATTTTTTTTATCACTCACAGTATAAGGCAAAAACTGTCCCTACTAAGGAAGAGTGACGTTGATAGGATAAATGAGTAAGTGTTGATAGAAAGTCTGAAGAACAAGCCGAGGAAGACCTGACTCAACCATGTGTTTCTTTAATTGTCTGCTTCACTTTTTGTCTCACTTCACTAATCTTCCAGAATTAGCAGTTTATTTAGATATACTGTCATTCTTTTGGGACGATGATTAGGTGGTAAAAAACGTTTTCTGCAGCGTGGTTAATTATCAATTCCAAAAGAGGTTTATCAAACAACTTTAAAGATATAAAGAAGCGAAAATCAGGAATAATAAATCGCTCAGAAGTGGAAGAAATGGATTCAATAAAACTTGAATATATTAAATATTTCGAACGTCGACAATATTTTTCATGCAATATTGTCCCCCCACCCCCCTTCCCCTTAATTTAGGATTAAAAAGAGTGACCGATCGGGAGGAAAACTCTGTAACAACCATTTATAGTCAGTTTCATTTCGCACCCTTTTGTGATTGCGTTACGCACAGGAAGCCCATGAGCGTGAGAATGCTTATCTTAGCCTTCCCCTTCCTTGCTCGGCATCGTTTGAAATTGCTTCGTTTGCTAAAATGCCGACATGTCGCTACTCCGAGCTCGTTGGTGGTTCTTGTAGTTCCCGCAAGACCAGTGGAGAAAGTAAATGCATAGTCCTTCCTAAGTGCAAAAGAGACATCCAAGGTCATCTTAAAACATATAAATGCCATGATGCTCAGCTGAAAAGTGAGTTCATTCTTCTTCTCGCCAGAGCAGGTAAATATCTCATTATCAAAGATGTCAAGAATGTTTAGCAAAGGCAAATACTGTATCCCTCTTTGTCCTGCTTTTATATTTTGCACTACGATCAATGAGATTATAACGTGATACAGTTCAACGCCCTTGATTTTATCTTTGCTTTAAGATTTATCTCTTGAATCCACATAAACGCTTGAATCCAAGACAACAGGATGCTAAACAGCATTATATGTTGTCATGAAATATAAAGCATTGGTCCATGCCTACAATTTATTTATTTATTTATCATCCATTCCTTCCTTCTTTCATTCCTTCATTCCTTCATTTATACATTTATTTATTTATTCATCCATTCATTCATTTATTTAATAAGTACACATATTATATAATAATTATAAATAAGATCCATTATATTTACATTATTTTACGAAATGGGTCTGGGGGAGGGCCGGGCCTTGCATTGAATTGCGCACCCTCTACACTAAACTAAGTTCCCATGATATGAAATTGCGTTTGTTTGTTTCGTTGTCTTATGTTTTTGTTTGTGTGTGTGTGTTTGTTTGTTTGGTTTGCTTGTTTGTTTTGCTTTGTATTTCTATCATTCTGAGTGAACAAGTAAACGACTTCGCTTTTTCAGGTTTATTTGAAGTCGAGGAAAGCCGTAAAGAACTTTCAATTTGTCACAGACATAGAGATGACTTCGGGACTAGATGGTTATGCAATTAAAAAAAATGCTCCTGTCCATCGGATTGGGCTCCACATGGGAAGTCTTCTCGGAAAGGTGATCGAGGCATGACTCTGCAACAGTCTCAAAAGCTTTATGCTTTAACATCTACACTTCAGTTCCGGTGGGGGTCACGTGAGTATACATCAGAATTCCATCCTGACCGCCACCTTGATAAGAGATAGTATCAGGATAGTAGAAGAGAAAACTACCCTCATTGATAAAAGCAAAGATACTTTATGTGCAAAAGCTGACAGAAGGAACAAGCACACAACCTCAAATGGCCAGCTTTACTGTACTGATATCAAGCTCGACAAAACTTTCGGAAGGCTGGGCACTGAGGGCGTCTAAGAAATCAAAGCATTTCAACGAAAACCAAAAGAATTATCTCGATGAAAAGTTCAAACTTGGCCAGGAGACTGGTTACAAAGAAGATCCATCCCAACTTGCGAGTGATATGCGTCGCGCTAAAAATGAAAACGGAGAGCGTCGATTTGCTGTTGGCGAGTTTTTATCAGCACAGCAGATAAAGTCGTACTTCTCAAGGTCAGTAGCGAAGATCAAACAGGCGGAATCGGTAGCAGAGATCGATGTACCAGCCATTGATGAAGAAATGGCATACTCCTCAGCTCATGACAAGATAATTCAAGAGTGCCAGCTTAGTCATCCCATTTTGTATGACACATACCACCTCTGTCAACTGTATGCCACGAACAAGCTTACTCGTTTCATTATTTCTTTCCTTCAAGATATATGCACATATTTCCAATTTGAAATTGATTCCCTTCCTGCTACACGAAAAGCGCCATACGTTGGTCTGATCAATGAAATGATAAATCCGTGTACGTGCAAAGAAAAATAGGAACTTTCCAGCTGGAAGTGACCATAGTCTTCGTATTCAGAAAGTTATGACCCCTAGAATAGAGGGACACCAACATTATTCCAACTGCCTTGAGAGAAATAAGCACAATAGGTGCATATGCATCATACACGGCTACGATACGACATTATCCCTTTGTTGCTTTGTTACAAAAAAATTGGCAGTGAAAACCTCACGTTTACATACACATGTTTTAGATCGAAAGGATTTTATAAAGACTAACCTTGTTCTGTTAAAAACGTTGGTCATCTTCTGTATCATTCTCACTTAATCGACTTCCTGTGTGTAACGCAATCACATGGATAAGTTTTGAAAAGGGTGGAGCGGGCTAAAGTGCATGCTCTTGGCATGGAAACCACTTCTAAAGGTAACATTTTGTGTAATTATAGCCTGGGCAATTCCTTCTGATGTTAAAAAAGTTTTTGTTATCGTTGGGTTGGTATTAGTTGCGAATATGACCGTTGTAACAACATAAACCAGCAATTTGCATATACTAGACTATCAAAGATTGCCCAGATTGCCTTGACTTTTTGGCTTCAGGAGAAAATTATATGTATATTTAATATGAAGGAGACCTGTTTCGAAGTTTTTATATGATATAAGAGGGAATTCGAGTGTTTTGGTAATGTTTTTCTTAATATGACGTGCAAGTCACGTTGTCACGTAAAGCGCCTCTTGAGCTCAAATACGCTTATATAAATCGCTCTAAAAATTAGTGGTTTAAATAGCCCAAAAAATTTATTGCAGTTTTTAAAAGAAGAAGCCTTGTTCTTGACAATGATTATTGTCTCATGGTCAGTTTATGGAGCCATGTGACAATGGCCGATTTTAGTCGCCAAAGTTGAGCTATGTTTTGATGGATGAAACTTCACCGGAATTAGAAAATTCGTAAAAAAATCGTTTTTTTAAGGAATCTTGGAAAAAATACTTCAGAACCTTTGAAAAATATCTCTTGTTTTAGAATTGTTATGTTGTTTCCGAATTGCTGGCGAAATAAGTTTTTTTCGGCCGTTATCTTTAGGTGTACTATTTCACTGGGAAAACACGGTTATGAACCCCCAAAACACAAAATGCCACCGTTCTCCCAACATAATTTTTTTTCGGCATTTTTTATATTTTTCCATAACTAAGGCCATTTATACCTATGTTCTGGCAAAGTTTGAAAAAATTTCAATTTTTTTTATTTTCAACACCGGTAATTACTAAAACAAGGAACGACCTAAAACCACCTAAAACCACTTAACACCACAAAAGACTTAAAGAACTTTACAAAATGAACTAACATGTTACAAAAAATAATACATTGGGAATCATACATAGGCGCGCGTATATATGGAAGTTTTTGTAATCATGATTCAAAGCATTTTCCATCTTAAGAGTCAGCGCCAACGCACTCTACGATTGTTATTCGAGGATTGTCGATTCATTTATTTGCATTCATTAATGAGGTCGGATTTTCTTCCCAGAAAAGGGCTATTGTGTTTATATGATAAACAAAATAATACATGGTTGCTTGTAGATATGGAATTTCTCTTCTCGTGTTCAACTCGACATCTCACTCGTTCACTGCGCTCACTCGTGAGCTATCGAGTTAAACACTCGAAGATTAATTCCATATCTACGCGCGCCCATGTATTATTCCCTATTTATTATTTTTTGTAACTTGTTAGTTCATTTTGTAAAGTTCTTTAAGTCTTTTGCTGAGGGAATATAAAATAATTAGCATGTTATCGCATTTCATTTCGTGAGATGGTTGATTATACATGGGACCAGGGAGAGTAAGATTTCAGGGGGAGGTAGAGGTGGTATTCGATTCTCGTATTTCGTGTACGTGACATGTTGTCGTTTCGTCTTATTTTAGACATTTATGCCTTGTTTTAGATGGTTTTAGATAGTTTGCAAGTGGTTGTAGATGTTTTTGAGGTGGTTGTAGGTGGTTGTTGAAATTTTTGAGGTGGTTGTAGATGGCTGTAGGTGGTTGTAGGTGGTTTTAGGTGGTTTTAGGTCGTTCCTTGTTTTAGTACTTACCTTTCAACACCTCTGCTCGATTTTCACAGACGACCACTCTTACACCACTTTTAAGTTTTATCCAATGCTCTGATATTATTTAAAAAGGATTAATTCGTTTGACGGTCTTCACTGCGGACTCATTTTAGCTTTTCAGTTTTTTGAAGCAAACGGTTTTGAAACATCTGTTGATGTTCGCTAAATGCAGTCTTTAAATCGAACTAAACGCTCAGCGTCTCGCTCACTTAGAAAAACCCACGTGGTCTGTCTCTTAATTAGTAGCTTTAAAACGAGCTTTAGCTTCAATAGACAATATCATTCGTTACCTACATCTGCACTGTGTCGTTTTGGTCGACTGAACTGTTCAGTGGAACATTTTTCGGCAGATTTCTTTAAAAACGTTCGTCACCTGTGCAACATTGTCAACCGATTCATTCAACATATCAAACTCATGGGGTACAAATAGTCTTAACATGAATGTAGTGACCACGCCCACTTCAACGCCCCACTCAAATCGAGTGTAATTTTCGAATGTTTTACCATCGTGCGGGTTCTCTATGGAAAAAGCACTCAGTGTACCTCTGAAATATTAAACTATAATATTGTGGCTTTCTATTTCGCTAATTTTCTAACTTGAAGGTAAAGTTTTTCCCTCGTCATTTTTACCTTTTCTCCGAGCGGTTGCGTGAAATTAACAAGGCGTTTTTGATCAAAACACGACCAAGCGAAGGGTCTCGGGCGATATCTCTTTTACGCAGGCGCAAATTAAAATGTACCGCCAGAATCAAAAAGAGGAACAAATTTCCTTTTTTTTTGATATGTAAAGTGTCGAACAAAAAGCAGATTTACCGTCTTCAAATGGCGTTTCAAAAACAGCTGTATCTTCCTCCTTTTGATTTTTCCTGTTTTGTAATCGTGAAAGCAGTAGGAGAGGGATCGGGAAACTCAGAAAGCGCTTCGGGAATTAATCTGCCATCGTTTACTTACAAGATAAACAAGTAAGATTTGTGAAGTTCGTTGAAGTATGAAGTCTAAATAAATGCCTTTTTAAGCTTGTTTGCTGGATTTTTCATAAACTTCCCTGATTAATTTTCAGCTTACTAATCTATACTATTTCAAAGCAATGCAAAGACGAAGACGGAGAACCATGAGTCGGTCCTTTCAACAATCATAAACAAAGTGTTTGAGCAATCAGGTTCACGAGGAGTAATAATCAATAGCCGCATATCAGAAGTCTTCAGAAAGAAAATACTCTGTCTTCAAAAAGCTGTCAAGAAAGCCAGTAATCGTGGTGGAAGAAAATTAAATGCACCTCTTAGCAAGTTGGAAACGGGCCCTCGGTATCGATTTAATATCATATCGATCTCAATATCATACAGTTTTGTATCTTTCTTCAGTCGATTCGCCTTTCTAACGGGGGTTTATGTTGAGTATTCATTGCAAAATCGTTTTATTTCTTCTATTTCTCTCTTTGGCCTGTCCGCCATTTTGAAAATAAGTAAAGGAGAGCATGCGCATTTCGTGGGGTTAGTGGTTGCGTGCACCTGGAACCGAGAAAAACAAATGTTCGTCGCACTGGGGAAAGGGTTTGATATGAAAAACTCGAATTGCTGGAACTCCAAAAATGCGAAAAAAAGAGCCCTGTTTCAATTTTTTATGTCAAGTAGGATTTTACCAAGCGTACACGTGCGTTCGAGAAGGTAGGGCCATTATTTCACGAGAAACTGAACAAAATTTGAATATTATTAACTCTGCATAGGTTATTAAAGCTTGTTAACTTGTACATCGTAAAACATATTGTTAATTAATTCAAAACATTCATGATAATCCGTGTAAATGTTTAATTTAATGAAGGATCGATCGGCACTGGAGCAGCAACCCTCTGAAACCGCATCCCGCGTAGTCTTTAATAAAAATGTTATAGTCAATTTTATTTCTTTCGCTTTCTTATAATAACATTCATGAGAGTATAATTTAAGTCAAGAGATTATAAGAGATTACATATCCTCTTGTGCACGTATATCTTTCCTTGGATTAATAATTTATGCATTCAAAAAAGTTTAGTAGCATGAAAAATATTTTTTAAAAGTTTTGGTTTGTGTTTCCATTGCCTTTCCTTTATTTTGTTTTACGTGACTTGTAAAAAATACTATCGACAGACCTCGAGCAAAAATCTAAGCGACAAGCGTTCTCTATCGGTCAGCTTTGCACTGAAAGTACTTATACGATCATATATAACTCGAGGATGGTCTAACTCCATGGACAGCAAAGTGCTTGTCTGATTGTCTGCTTCATTGCTCGTCTCACCTCACTAATCTTCCAGCAGTAAAGAAACGGGTTTAACGTCGAGTTAAAGAAAACAAGGATAATCGCCATTTGCCATGCGACGGCTGAGTTTGATGAATATGTTGTACTAGAAGTGTTTACAAATACCACAATAAGGTATGGTGTATAACAAATAACTAATACTGACTGTACCCACAGTGCGCTGTACACTGCTTTTCTGTATCGCGCCATGTTCAGTGCATTTGGTTGGCTCGGCTGTTGTTGTACTTGTGCCTGATGATGTCTAAGAGTGCGAAAAATCTTTGTGTACGAGGCGAGTGAAATAAGCAGCGAAAGTGGTATCAATATCAAGATACTCAAAAGTGTTATACGCTGATCGAAAATGATGCATAAAGAGGCGACAAGACATAAAACCCAAAAGCTAGCTATAATGATATAAATGCGCTTCAAAGTTACAATCTCTTTGTATCTCAGTTCAAAAAACAGGGTGAGAAGCCTGTCCACGCTTATTACCGCTATCGTCAGCAAAGAAACTCCACATAATGCTACGCCCGTAATGTAAGCTGCTTTTCTTGCGTAATGACAAAGGCTCCAATGTTCGTGAACCACGGACATCCAATAAGTAACACGGAGAGGCTGAGCAAAAAAACCAACCAACAGATCAGTTGTTGCCAGACAGCGATACAAGAGTTTGGACGGCGGATGAAGGGAAGATTCTTTGTGAAGGGCAACAAGGATGAGAGAATTACCAAGAAATGCTGTGAAGGCGAGGAAAATGTTGACTGCTGCGAAAGAAACTGATGCTGATTGAAGCCCACCCATGATCAAAGAGGGGGAGCATACCAGTTCTTCAAATGTTTTTGTCTTTGTTCCACCTCTGGTGAAATTTGTTGTCGAATAATTCTACATTCGTTTCCTCTGTTCTTGCAACGAGAAATATTTCATCTAAACAGGACACGCCGAACTATGGTAACTGAAACCTCTCATAAAGACTTCCGCCCTCGCGTTAATCATTTAAAATGCGTCAGAAATTTGCAGCTGTGGGATGCCTCAGGTATGAAACTGATATTGGTTGAAGCCCAACCAACAAAGAGGAGAGCATAGCGGTTCTTCAATTGTTTTCGTCTGCGTTCCAACTCTTCTGAAATTTGTTGCAGGTTATCTAAGATTGCAACGAGTAATATGTCGTCTAAACAGCCCACACCAGCCACGATCAATTACACCTCATACTTCAATTAATGATATTTATAAACACTGAGAATTCTTCATCAGTGTTTACTCGTTCAAAATATGTCAGAAAATTGTCTGTTGTGCCCAAAAATTGAACCTTGGAAGTGCCTCAGGTATGAAATGGCAACAAGTAGAAATGGAGAGACATCTGTGGTATCATTCTTTTAAAAGAACGACGAACAATCTTCTTTTATTTAGATCAACTGTCACTGATAGGGTGCTAACCTGGTGTCCATATTATTCGTATGAAGTTCAGACTTGTATCATTAGTAGCCATGAAAAATTAGAAATAAAAATTTCAAGCTGGCGATTTTATTTGGTCTTAGAAACGTGCGATTTGAGACAATCTGCGAATGCATCAAACAATTCAAATTTAAATTTTGGTCACAGATGTAAACATATTTTTAAATGTTTGAATCAATTTGTAATGACAGGTTTTTCCTTTCCGTTTTTCGTCCCCGGACTAATATTAAAAACAAAACCGTACCAAGATGTTAGGCCGCGCGCCATCGATTTTTCAAACTCGTTCTCTGCCAGCTTTTTCACTTTCGTCAGGAAAGTTATCATGATTTTTTTTAACCAAAACTGTTTTACCTATTTTGCTTATTTCGCCCCATGATGTAATTTCCTGTCTTCATCCCTTTGGTCCACAAGATAAGAGAAATGGGCGGTTTCTGAAAATAGAGGAGGCGAAGAAACCATTGTTTTGCACCAGCCATGATGGCCCTACGCGCTCGGTATCATTTTAATCCCAGAGTTCCATCGGATACCGACAAAACGAGAAACAAAACAGAAGAAAATCAGGAAATTCCTTTTTTAAACAATTTTTGGCTGTTTCTTTTACGTTCTCTATTTGTTCTTCTCCTTTCGCCAAAATTTTAAAGTGGTTGTCCTGCAAAATTATATAACAAAGTTCGCCCAAATTTTTCTCTGCCAACGCTTTCATGTATACAGCTGTGACTGAATTCTTCATGTCGTAATTCCCTGAGCGATTGGCAATTCTCCTCCGATAACCAGAGTTGTATGACTATGCTAAAGCGAATATGATAATTTACTGATCGAGAAGGAAAATGAAGGAATGGATACTTAAAACTGTCAACACTCGATAAAAATATTTAACAATTATTTGCCGAAGATGAAGTGAATAATATTATTATTGAATAATTCCCGTGACGATGTCGAGTTAAAAACTACACCTTGTTAAACATACATAAACAGCATTTATTATTTATGAACGTACGATCTCTCTTGGTTGCGTGTTAAGCAACTCCCGCGTTTCTTTCAAGCTCTCCAAACTTCCTGCGTTTATCGTATATTTAATGACCGCACAGTGACGAACGAAGCAATTTTTAAAAATATCCTGTCAAAGATTAGGAAAGATTAGTTAACCACCACAGACACGCCGCCTCGTTTTAGGTTGGAAAAATTTCGTTTTTGCAAAATAATTACTCTCTATAGATTCAATATTTCATTCCGGCTTCAAATTAGTCATTTCATTTACCAACGGAGGATTAGCTGACAGAAAAATCAGACGAAAGACTTAATCGCTGAAGATGCGTCAATCCCTCCTTTAACAAGAGTTCTTTCATAGGGAATTTTCTCTGATCCTCTATAATAATTCAGTACCTTGATAAACAAGAACATGTTCGTCGCAACCAGCTGTTGATTTCAGTAACTAAAGTTTCAGTTTAATTTCAAATTAGCACTGCAAGTGAATTCCCTTGACAAACACAAAGACATGGGCTATGTTTTTTGTTTTACAATACGATATGGGCCTCCTAAGTCTTAAAAGATCCATTTTGTCACTTCTTTAATGGGTGAAATAAACATGTCGTTCTTTGGGCGATAATTAGATGGTATGATATTGAAGGAAAGTGTGAGCTTATATAAAGCTTTGAAAACGACTCAATAAAAAAAAAATTGTGGAACTTCGGGACAGAAGGTAATCACTTGGAAATGGAGGAAATAAAATCCGTAAAACTCAGAGACAACCTAAAGATACATAAGCGGCAAACTGGACCTCTATGCAAATGATGCGAAACTTGTTTTTCGCTGTTGCCAATATAATTTCAGAACATCAATAGATCTGTAAAAAAGTTCTGTAACAAACAGAGATGGTCAATTTTATTCCATTTACTTTCGTAACTTTCAGTTAAATATACAAGTAACAAAAACTTCTTCACATAAGCTTTACGGATATTTTTCTGATAACAAAGCAAATTCAAGACTGAAGCTGGACCGTCTCTTATGGCAATATGGCGTCAACATCAACGTCAAGCGCTTTCTTTTAATTATAGGAAAACTAGTTGAAATAGTTTTATCGTAACACACAACATCGGCCTCAAACACATCTCTTAAACTACTCTTTGAAGTTTTATCTGATGCCTTCATATTACTAAGAGGAGAAAACATGAAAGTAGAATGTTTGCATATATTTTCTTGCTTTATGACATCTTGTATTTTAGCACAGCGACAAGAAACCTTATTTTTGAAAACACATAGCTGGGTTACTTAGTCAGTCGTTAAATTATTCACGGAGATGTAAAGACTATCGATAACAGGGATCAATATCAGTATCTGGGCCGAAGGCGCTATGTAACAGAGCCATTTAAATTTACGAAAAAACGGCTTATATAAAACAGTACCAGTAAACAACCCTTATGTAATAATGGTCAAATGAATGGCCTTATGTAATAAATGCTTTTAAAATGTACCACCTCAAAGTTCGTAAAAAGCGCCCATTAAATGTTCGTAAAATGCGACTAAATGTTCGTAAAATGCGACTGTTAAATGTTAGTAAAATGCGACTAAATGTTCGTAAAATGCGACTGTTAAATGTTAGTAAAATGCGACAGTTAAATGTTCGTAAAAATACGTTAAATGTTCGTAAAATGCGACTAAAATGTTCGTAAAATGCGACCGTTAAATGTTTGTAAAATGCGACTCTTAAATGTTCGTAAAAATACGTAAAATATTCCTAAAATGCGACTCTTAAATGTTCGTAAAATGCGACTGTTAAATGTTCGTAAAAATACGTACTAAAATGCGACTGTCAAATGTTCGTAAAATGTGACTGTTAAATGTTCGTAAAATGCGACTCTTAAATGTTCGTAAAATACGTTAAATGTTCGTAAAATGCGACTCTTAAATGTTCGTAAAAATACGCTAAATGTTCGTAAAAATACGTTAAATGTTCGTAAAATGCGACCTTTAAATGTTCGTAAAATGCAGCTGTGAAATGTTCGTAAATATACGCCCTTTAAATGTTTATAAAATGCGACGGTTAAAAGTTCGTAAAATGCGACTAAATGTTCGTAAAATGCGACTAAATGTTCGTAAAATGCGACTAAATGTTCGTAAAATGCGACTAAATGTTCGTAAAATGCGACTAAATGTTCGTAAAATGCGACTAAATGTTCGTAAAATGCGACCGTTAAATGTTCGTAAAATGCGACAGTTAAATGTTCGTGAAATACAACAGTTAAATGTTCGTAAAAATACGTTAAATGTTCGTAAAATGCGACTAAAATGTTCGTAAAATGCGTCCGTCAAATATTTGTAAAATGCGACTAAATTTCGTAAAATACGCCCGTTAAATGTTCGTAAACTGCGACTTTTAAATCTGAAAAGGGTAAACACGTGACAGTTATAATAAAACCGATAAACTTGTGGCCCTCTATAAAATACAAAATCAAAATTAATATTAAAATAATTCTTCATCGTCATTATAGAAAGATAAAAATTATTACTAGACAAAATTTGTGAAGCAAGCAAAAATGGTGTTTAAAAACTATCTAGACTCTTATTTAGCCAATTAGAAATCTTAACTATTTAAAATCTATTAAGTATCTAAAACAAGTTATTTTGAAAAAATAACAAGTTATACGTGCCTCGATACAAAATAGAATCCAGTTATTAAGTGTGAGTAATTATTAGGGACGGACCATTTTTTTTCTGGAGGGGGTGTATGAGAAATGTTCTTCCGCAAACACTTTTTTTTAAACATATACGTCTCCGCAAACATATTTTTAAACATATACGTCTCTGCAAATATTTTTTTAAACATATACGTCTCCGCTCCGCAAACATTTTTTACCAACATCATCTTCGTGCAAACAATTTTTTTCCATTTTTTAACTGCCACAGTAGAATCTCATTTCTTCAAGAAATATTTAGCTATTTTCAGATTTGTTATTTGCTTAAAACAGAGTGACCACTTTTTAGTGCCCAAAGTGTGTCAATTTTTATTCTAATGCCTCAATTTGTTATTTTGTTTTTCATTTCAGTTTTAGTAGAAATATTTTTTAATATCTTACCTGACTTCTCTCCAAACATTTTTTTTTAACCCTATCACGTTTACAAACAATTTATTTTCTCTTTCAGCCCCGAAAACAATTTTTTTTAACATTTCTCATGATCATACCTGCCCTTCAGAAAAAAATGGTCCGTATGCTGGTATAGAATAACTGTTCAAAATTACAACGCTGCGTTTTTGAATTAGAAAGAAATGAATAAAAAGATTCTTCACATTCAACACATTTTACCTTTCGTAAAATGATCTTTGAGAAGGAGAAAAGCAACGGCGGAAAAAAGACAGCTCAAAAGTTTTACCTTTTCATCTTAATCATTTGACATGAAAAAAAAAAGCCTGGAAACGATAGTTTATAAAAGAAATATAACCCTTTCCGGCTTGCTGGTATGTCGCCTGATAAAGTTCCTGTCTGAGGTATTGTCCTCAAAATTGTCACATTCGCCCTCGAAGCTTCGCTTTTCGGTCGAATTTTTCATTTTTCGAACACTCTTTCAGCCAAGGACATTGTCAGTCCACATACCCGCGGCCTGATGGGATTTATTCACTAAATATGTAAATATACATATGTTTGTATCTGACTCTTTTTCCAGTATCAAAGAGGGCGTCGTGCAGGTAACGGACCTTGTTGGGTATTTGGCGTTATATCCACCGAGCACATACCCTGCAGGGGATATTTTCAAGTAGTGCAACGAAGAGATCGGGCAACTCTGTGCCAAATCCTACAGAGAGTACTCCTTCCTGGCTCCGAGGTCCACACTGACGATTGGGCCGCCTACAGAAACTTGAATCGCCACGTTCCCAACGTGACGGTGCATAGAAGCGTGGTCCACCAAGACAACTTCGTTGATCCCCTGACTGGAGTCCACACTCAGGAGGCAGAGTCAGCTTGGGCACGGCTAAAATACCACATAAAGAGAGAAAAGGGAGTTAGAAGAGAGGACATCCCCGCTTTCCTCCATGAGCAGATGTGGCGAGATTGGAGAGGAGGAGCAGACGTGTTCCGCAGTCTTAGAGTTTTAATATCTAAATATCACCCACTGTAACAAAACGTGCATTTGCGTGTGCCAATGATGGTAAACATTGCGCTAATTTTGTCTTTTTCTCGTTCAAAGTTCTATTTTGTAACCCGTCAGATACTAAATTAGTTTGTAAACTTGCGGAGACGATAATTTTCCTCTCTAACATCATTAAACACAAATCGCTTCTCCAAATTCGGGTGTGACGATTTATTGTACCAACCAATTACCTCATATCTGTCTACGTTTCAGAGAGCGAGTTTCAGCAATGAATCTCTATATGTCAAAAATGTAATGTTACTTGAAACTTTGACGAAAAAACATTACACGACGGACCAAGTACAAATGACTGGTAGAATGTGTGGGTCAGCGAAGTCGCTTTGAGTTTCTTGCATATAGATTTAACAAAAGGGAGACTTCTCAGAAACTTGCAAAGAAAAAAATTATGACAGCCTGTTGTGAAGTATGCGAGCTTTTTGGACTTTAATTTCAAGGAAACATATTTGAAAGTGCGACGGCTCTCTTCCATCAAAAAGTGACTTTTTTGAAAATTGCGAAACAATTTTGAGCTACTCATATTGAAAAAAAAAAAATTTTTGAGGACCGAAGATTCAATTTTGCGAAATCTTTTGTTGCCTTAAATGCACCCTGGCATGCTCCTAGTCCTCTAATAGAACACCTCTCAAGCGAGCGCTCCTTTCGACGTGGACGAGTTTAATAGACTCATAAACTCTTTCGTGAAAAGCTTATTGTCTTAGGGTCATGTAGAGGCGAAACGTTTTAAAAGAAAGCTTATTTTTAAGTTACATTCACAATGAAACAACAACAACATACTCAAGCACGTCGCCTGAACAACATTATTTCCGTTGAGTCGACCTCAGCGATATTTCAAAGGAATTTTTACGTGAAATTCGGCAGGTACCGCGACCTTTCCCATACATGGTTGTTTCAGGAGGTTGTTCCTTGACCGTAAATCAACTTAACGTATGTGTTTAATTTTTTCATGTTACATTTCTATTCTATTTTTTAATTTTACATTACTTGTCCGTTGGGTCGATGGCCAAGGTCTCTGACCAGTGTGGCCATTCCCTATGAGGTCACTGCGCCGCAACAACTCAACACGGACTTGTTTAAAGTCCTGCCTGCATTTTTCTTTTCTCTTTCGTTTTTTTTGTTTTGTTTGTTTGTTTGTTTTGTGATACGCGAAGAAATAATTGTAACCTAATGCAAGTATTAGATCTTTCCCTATCTCTCTTCTTTTTGTATCATTGGCATGACTAACGATGTCGCTCGTGGTTGAAATCACCATCCAATCACAGCGTTCAAAAGAAAAAGGCGCGAAACGCCCTGTTCACGAATTTGCAGGCGGCAAGTAGGGCCAATAAGCTTAGAGCGATCAGTGGCGATCTTGTAGAAGAACGAAATGTGAACATAAAATCTGTCACTTAAAATGTTGAAAAAAAAAAAAAAAGCGTTAGCAATCGTTTCTCACATCTATATTTTTGCTCCATATTGAAACAAATTATTCCCTTCCTTTCCTATGGCTTCCCCTTCGACAAAGTTGCGCGTGAGTAAAAGTGGTGACCTTAAATTAAACGTGCACAAGCAAAGGTAATCACGGAATATCACGAAAAAGAAATTGTCGTGATCTTGAACAAAATTCTCACAGTTAGCAATAATAGGGAAAAAAACGGGCCAACAGGCGTCCGGATCTAGCGAAATGTTGTGAGGACATTCACCAAGGTTTGGCCGACTTTCACACATTGGGTGTTAGTACTCGTGTGGTCTTTAAGTCGCGATCGCTTTCTTTTTTTCTAACAAAAATGCCTTCATTCGTACTAAAATGCCCTATTCATTAAACCATTTCCGGTGTTTTGATTAGGCATCCATGGAAAGGAGACCTGTTGCATTGTCATTCAGCGTAGGCAGAACCTCAGAACAGATTGTTAAGTGTGCGCTCCGTAAGTCAAGGTTCAATCAGAAAATCAAGCATGTCGTCTTCACAAGACTATTTTGATTTTATCGACCTTACCGGTTTCCCACAGGAATTTTTATGTGAGATTTGGTATGTATCGCAAACTTTTCAAGTCATGGTTGTCTCATGGTTATTCCTAATTTATTTTTATTCATGTTGCAGTACTTGTCCAATGGTCGATGCTAAAATATGTCACCCGTGTGGTCATTCTGTTTGCGGTCACTGCGCCGAACGAATGGTGGAAAATGGGGCACGTAACTGCCATATGTGCAGGCAGCCAAGAATAAGTTTCTGTAGAAACTTGTTTGCGGCTAAAATGATGCAAGGCATGACAGCCAAGTGCCTGAGTTGTGAGAGGGATGTGCCCCTCGAGGATATCAGGCAGCATGTTATCCACGACTGCCAAGAAATCGAGCAGCACTGTGGCTTGTGCTCAGCCAAGTTTAAGCGGGGAGATGCGTTACAACACAAGTCAGTCTGCCCAGAAGAAGAGATATGGTGTGCCTGTGGGCAACAACTCCTCCGTAAAGAGAGACCTCTACACTTGAAAGCGGATTGTGATTATGTCGACGTGTCCTGCCCTCTGGGGTGTACTTCCACCATGAAAAGGTCAGATAGTAATGCTCAATGTAGTAAATGTTCAAAACGGGTCAAAGTTTTTTCGTAAAGCTTTACTAGTTGAACAAGGTAACAGATAAACTGGTCAAGCGATCAAACTTGAGCTTAAAAATTCTGAGCGCTACAGGAGATACCAAGGCTCTAACGCTCTTCAGTGATGGTTCGGACAAATTATTTCGACAGATGGACAGGATTCATACTTTGCAAACTTTTGCGAGAATCTGTTGATCTTCTTGTAGAATACTGTTGTCGAGTCCATTTTCAAGTGTGACCCTAGTTTTGCAATCGGAACAAGATTGTAATTTTCATCTGAGCACGATAACTTTGGACTAACGCAATAGTTTTGAGACATTTGCACAAACTGATTTTGAGAAATTCGCACTTAAGTCTTGACGGATGACGCTTATAATATCATTGGCAATTTCATTTTTTATTATAGTTTTTTTGTGCATGTTGAAAGTCTTCACGGCCAGGTGATTCTGGTACCTGGTCTCGTCATTTCCATTGCATTTACATAAATTTATCAGTAGTGGGCCTCGCTCGTGCAAAATGTTTCTCCTGAAAGCTCGCGCTTTGTCATTGTCATGGATGTTCTGCAGAACATACTTCAGAACTTTTGCCAAGTGCGAGGTATGCCTCACTGAATTTCATTTAAAACTCGACGCGCATGTTTCAAGCGTTCAATCCGTTGGGCTGAACGCAAAACAATTTAGGGTTTTAGAGGAGCTGAATGAGGAACACTTTTAAAACCTTTTTTCATTTAAAATCTTTTCGATCATGTAACAATTAGCTTTTTTCTTCCGGTAGTGGTTTTGGGTGTCAATTAAACGCCACGTCAACGAATTACACAAAACAACCATTATATCGGCATATTTATAACTTCGCCTCTATCGTGAATGTCAACTGTGGCTTACTTACTTGCTCCTGTGTTTCAAACTCGACAAAGCGACGAGTATAGCGGTAATTATTTTCATTCTAAAATTTGTAACTAACTCTACGTGATACGCTTGACAGGAGGATCGATCTGCCACATCTTCTCTAAGTGCGTTTCTCATTGAATTTTAGTTGAAAGCAACCCTCAGTTATAAAATGTCTGCCAGATGTCCGTTTGCCGGTCTAGTTACAATAGCTTTTTTAATTAAGTGTTTCTTTCTTTAGTTTTGAACGAGATTCTGTACGGTCGAAATTAATTAGTATGGGGTTGGCTGACTCTAACTGAAATTCTCTCCTTTCAAACGCAGATATTTGATTCCAGCCCACATGGCTACATGTGGAAAAGCAATGAACGCGTGCCAGGTAGCTGGCTGTCACACTTATCTTCGCAGGGAAGAAATTGCGGCACATGACAGCTGCTCCACTTCCCGCCATCTCGTTCTAATGGAGCAGGAAAGGTCAAGAACTTTGTGGGAAGTAGTCATGGTAAGTTAAGATGCTTTTTATTAATTCTAACCCAAACCGTCAAACCCGGACGCAACAATGGAGTTTTATTAAGCACAATTACGACGCTTTGATTTGTTTTCCGGATGTAACCTTATTGAATTTATTTCCTTCGCAGAATCGTCTCCTTGTCGTACCAATTAGAGGGGAAGAAAAAGCAATATTCACCTGGAGGATTCCGGACATGCACGGCTCATTGGGGTCACCAATTTTCTCAAAGTTTAATAGAAAATGGAAATTGCTATTGGACAAGGACAGGAAGAATCTTCAGGTCCACTTCGTCCAAGGGGTGGATCCCATTTCACTGCTAGCAAGGTAACTGTTTTGAATTAGAATTTTACAATTGGGGAAATATGTGGATTTGGATGAAGATCGAAAGTGAAAACATGTAATAAATTTTTCCTTCCAAAATTTACAGAGTGCTAAGTGAAACGGAATAATCTCCTGTGTAAACCGTGTAACCATCCTCGAATAGGCACTACAATGAAATGTATTCCTAACTTGTCAGATGGCTGAAAAATAATTATTTTGCTCAGTACAAGATAGAGTGAAACTTGAAAATTAGGTTAAAGCGCCTAAGAACCGAGTCATGGAATGTCTTGAAAACCGTGTGATAAAATCTCTAACAACCAAGGTTTCTAATGTTTCGGTGAACCGGGATATCCAATTGCTTACAAACAAAGCTTTGAACTACGAAAAACCGAAAAAAGAAAAAAAAAACCGAACTAAAAGAGATCATAAAAAGCTGACCCATGGCTCATAAAACCTTTTAGGAGAAACTTGGTTATGTTGTGTCTTGGAAACTAGTTAATCGCAATACCCTAAAAAAATCCTAGGTCACTGGATGCCTCATAACGCATAGCGGTACAGTTGTTCAACGTTCCAAAAAGTAATGAATTAAAGTAAATATTGTTTTCTTTCTTCAACAGCTTCGCTGTCGTTACTGCTGAACAGAAAATCGAGGCTTATATGGAGATTGCTCCCTGGAGGATTCATCTTAAAGAGGGCGAACACTTTGTTGTTTCCTTGACCGGAGGAAAATCGGTGGAGGCAATCACCATAAAAATGGAAATAGTGAAGCCACATGTCGGTAATAGGCGTTAATTAAGGCAGTTGCGGGAACCGGCATTATTCTACTTTTTGCTGTTCGCTTGATTATACTTGTAAATAAAAAAAAAACAATAATGTTGCTGTTTATTCACGGGGCCAGATCTTTATTCTAGTAATTCATCAATAAATTTTGATGAACATGTTACTTTTGCCTTTGAGTGATTAATCAGTTTGAGTTATTTTAGCCTGTTTCAGGCTCTAACTCACTGGGCGGGCGAGCGATGAACTACTGTTGCGGGTGCATAAACCCGCCATTTTGTTCTTTTGCTCATTTCCATTAACCGAGAGCCTTGCAGAGGTTTGAGTTATTTAGCTCCCTCTCGCTTTGACTAAAGAGCTTTTTGTGTTTTATTGCCACCCATGAACTGTTGCAATCTTAATTCCAACGACAATCTTTCAGCTGTTCTGTCCCTGCAACTTACATCCAGAACCCTTTACATTTGGCATTTTAAGAGTAATTCAAACTCGTGCATCTGAAGGACTTTTTGTAGTCGTGCATTCAACCAGACGCTTCTCAAATCATGCATGTTACGAACAGTCTACGGTCGTGCACTTTAGAGCACTAAACTGTCGCATTTTACGAACGCTTAATGGTCCCATTTTTGAGAACACTTCACGGTCGCATTTTACAAAAACATAACGGGTGCACTTTTGGCAAATTTTAAGAAAACTTTACAGTCACATTTTACGAATTCTAATCAATCGCATTTCATAAACACTTAACGGGCGCATTTTACGAACACTCAACTAGCAAATTTTACGAACACTTAATGGGCACATTTTACGAACACGTAATAGTCGCAAATTAACAACATACGAAATTTTAACGGGCGCTTTTTATGAACAATCAACAGTTGCATTTTAATCGCTTTTTACGAACATTTAAAAATCACTTTTTACGAACATTTAAGGATCGCTTTTCACGAAAATTTAACAGACGCATTTAACAGATAAGACCCAGTTAACATTTTACGAACATTTAACGGTCGTATTTTACGAACATTTAGTCGCATTTTACAAACATTTAACGTATTTTTACGAACATTTAAGAGTCGCATTTACGAACATTTAACGGTCGCATTTTATGAACATTTAAGAGTCGCATTTTACGAACTTTTAACCGTAGCATTTAACAAATATTTAACGGGCGTATTTTTACGAACATTTAACACCAACATTTTACGAACATTTAGTCGCATTTTACGAACATTTAACGTATTTTTACGAACATTTAAGAGTCGCATTTTACGAACATTTAACGGTCGTATTTTACGAACATTTAGTCGCATTTTACAAACATTTAACGTATTTTTTACGAACATTTAAGAGTCGCATTTACGAACATTTAACGGTCGCATTTTATGAACATTTAAGAGTCGCATTTTACGAACATTTAAGAGTCGCATTTTACGAACATTTAAGAGTCGCATTTACGAACATTTCACAGCTGCATTTTACGAACATTTAACGATCGTATTTTTACGAACATTTAAGAGTCGCATTTTACGAACTTTTAACCGTAGCATTTAACAAATATTTAACGGGCGTATTTTTACGAACATTTAACACCAACATTTTACGAACATTTAGTCGCATTTTACGAACATTTAACGTATTTTTACGAACATTTAACAGTCGCATTTTACGAACATTTAAGAGTCGCATTTACGAACATTTAAGAGTCGCATTTTACGAACATTTAGTCGCATTTTACGAACATTTAAGAGTCGCATTTTACGAACATTTAAGAGTCGCATTTTACGAACATTTAACGGTCGCATTTTACGAACATTTAGTCGCATTTTACGAGCATTTAACGTATTTTTACGAACATTTAACAGTTGCATTTTACGAGCATTTAACAGTCGCATTTTACGAACATTTAACAGCCGCATTTTACGAACATTTAACAGTCGCATTTTACGAACATTTAACGGGTGCTTTTTACAAACTTTAAGGTCGTACATTTTAAAAACATTTATTACATAAGGCTATTCATTTGACCTTAATTACATAAGGGTTGTTTACTAGTACTGTTTTATATAAGCTGTTTTGTCGTAAATTTAAATGGCTCTGTTACATAGCGCCTTCGGCCCAGATACTGATATTGATCCGATAACAGCTTGCGCAACTATTTCATTGAGCCACTAATTTGGTTTTATCCAATAACTTATTTAACGACTGCTCTCTAATAATAATCCTGACTTAATAAGCCTGCTTTGAAAGTGTGAAGAACAACTCAAGAAAGACCTATTTTAGCAAAGAGCTTCTTTCAGTGTCCGCTTCACTGCTTGTCTCACTGCACTAATCTTCCAGCAGTATAGGAACGGGTTTAAAGTCGAATTAAAGTAAAGTAAAATAATTGCTACTTTCCGTACGACGACTAAGAGTAATGAGTATTTGTTAGTGCGAGTGACCACAATTTCCACTGTATACATTGGCGCATAACAAATAACTAATGCTAACTGCACCCACAGTGCACTGTCCACTGCCTTTCTGAATCGTGCCATGTTCAGTGCATTTGTTTGGCTCGTCCGTTGTTGATCTCGTACTTGTGCTTGATGATTTCTGAGAGTGCAAAAAATCTTTGTGTACGATGCGAAGGATATTACCAGGCAAAATGGTAGAAACTAGGTAGCCGTACAAATAGATTATACTGGGATAAAAAATTCCACATAAAGAGGCGACAATGTTAAAAACCCAAAAGGTAGTTACAATAATATACGTGCGCTTCAAAGTTACAATTTGTTTGTATCTCAGCCCCAAAAACAGGGCGAGAAGTCTGTCCACGCTTATGGCCGTCATCGTCATCAAAGACACTAAAATCAATACATGGCTTGTGACGTAGCCTGCGTCCCTAGCGTATCGACAACGGCTCCAATGTTCTTGAAACACGGACATCCAATATGTAGCATAGAGAGGCTGGGCAACAAGACCAACCAACAGATCAGTGGTTGCCAGACAACGATACAGGAGTTTGGACGGCGGATGTAGGGAAGATTCTTTATAAAGGGCAACAAGGATGAGAGAATTCCCAGCAAATGCTGTGATGGAGAGGAGAATGTAAACTGCCAAGAAACAAATTGATAGTTGTTGATGCCCACCCATCAAAGAGGGAGAGCATATCAGTTCTTCATATGATTTCGTGTGACTTCTGCCGCTACTGAAATTTGATATCAACATAATTCTGTCGTCGGCTTTTCCCTTTTCTTGTGGGTCTCTGTTCTTGCAACGAAAAATGGCAGCAATGACTACTGAAGCCTAACTTTCTACCTAACAGTCGCATAAAGACTTACTCATTTAAAATGCAACTGGAAATTCTCCATTGGGTCAAAAAAATATTTTTTTCCTCGGGAACCTTTGGGTTCCTCAGTTATGAAATAGCAACTAAAGGCAAATATAGAAACATCTGTTATTTCAGTGTTTTTACAATGCGGCAAAGAGTCGCTCTTTATCAGTATCAAATTCCATTATAATAGGATGCTAATCAAGGGTCCATATCTTTCGTGTGAAGTTAAGACTTGAATTATCAGCTACGGAGAGCTAAAAATGCAAAAGCTCAAGCTGGCGATGTCAATTGTTGTAAGAGAAAAATTGAATTCGTGACAATAACCGAATGTACTACGTAAACTACACAACTATTCAAAATTAATGTATACGGCCACACATACGAACTTGTTTCAAAATATTTGAAATTAACTGTGTATCTAATTGCGCTTTGAAGCCTTTTTTCTCTCCGTTTCGTATCCTACTAGAACTAAAAACAAAATAGTAACAAAATCAAGTTGTCACACCGGCAAACCATCTTCTGCAACTGTAAAAGGAAAGTTATTCAATTTTTGTTCCAGCGATTCTCTTAAACAGTTGATGAATCTCCTTTAGTGATGACAATTAGTTACAAGATAATTTATTAATCGAAATGGAAAATGAAGGGATGGGCGCTCAAGGTTTATCAGCAGTCGATAAAAAAATTACAATTGCTCCAGGAGAGGCTTCGTCTTTACCAACCCTGACCCATATTTGAAACTCACTAAAACTGCCACGTGCTTTTTATCGCACACTGAGGAACGAATAAGTTGTTAAGAAGACAACTGCTTGTCAAGACAGATTCGGACTTGTATTAGGCCTCGTTTACACGACTGCGTTTCTTTTGGCTCCATAAATATATGTAAATACCTGTTTTTGAAAACCTTTCAAATCTGAAAATATATATCGAACAAATACATCTTTTCGTAGCTCATCAAAAAGAGACACTTTGTGATGAGAAAAGAAAATATATATATAGACTATTTTAATATATTTTTTTCAAATAGCAACGTTTTCGAAAATGGGTTTGTATATATATTTATATATTAACTTTAGATCCATTGTTTTATTTTCGGACGGGAAAATTGCTGATAGACAAACAAACAACTCATTCAATTCTTTAATACAGAGCAGGAGTTTTATCCTGAAAATTTTAATTCCTCCGAATAACGACTGCAGCCGATCGAACCACTAGCGCGTTTGGGTGGACTGCGACAAGTTTCTAATCTGAATCAGTGAATTTAAATTTAAGTATAAATTAGCACTAAAAGTTAATTTCTTTGACAAACAAATAGATTAATAATACCTTTTTTAAATAATAAAATTTAACAGTATATTAAGATAAGATGTCATTTAAGGGCCGATTATTGAATTGAAATATTCTCCCTTTACTGAGGACAATACGAAGCAATAACGGGGAAAAGTTAGCCTATGTGACCCTATGATATGATATCCTTTCTTCCCACGTCTTGTTAGTGAGATAATAAAGGTGTTTTTGTATAAAGAAAGCTCTCGTGTAAACGGCAGGTAACTTTGTGATGCTTTGGGGCAATTTTCAAAATTCTACTTTAATTGCAACGGTTACATCGTAATACTGAAGTGAAGAAAACAATTTATATAAGTGGTGGTCCAAAATCAATGGACCTATGCTAAGGAATTATCAAAATTCGCCGCACAGATCTTCAATTCTACCTTCATCAGAACTCCCTCACTAGCGTTTACTCTTTGAAAAGACTATTGACAAAAGCTCGACGTACAACGATTCTACTGAACTTCTTATTTCTTCCGCTTAATCAATAATATTTTGAAGAGCGCTCCATAATAACAATCGTGACTTAATAATGAAAGTCTTACAAAACCAAACCGAGGAGGAGGTAACGCTACGGACAGCAAAGTTCTTCTCTGATTGTCTGTTTCACTGCTTGTCTTACTTCACTAATTTTCCAGCAGTAAAGAACGGACATTCAAGTTAAAGTAAAGTAAGACAATTGATACTCTCCATATAACGACTAAGTGTGACTGATCTGTCTTACTATAGATTGGTGCGCAACAAGCAATGTAAACAGTGATAAATGGGCAACACAGCGGTCAAATGATTACGCATGCGCTTTTAGATGGATGATTTCTATTATAAACATTGAGAATCTAAGTGATGCGTAGTTTTTTGCTGTTTCTTGGGAAAGTTCAAAGTTTCTAAGGCCTAGACTTATACACATTGTTGTTTTAGACTTGACCCATGTTGTGCTAGTTTATACTCTCGTACTTTACACTTTACACTTTGCTTAGCGGTTTAAATGAAGTCGTAAGCTTGGCCATGCTGGCGAGGGTAAAAGTAAGCTTCTGTAATTTGCCTTCATCGCCGGAACAAGGCGTCTGCGTTGAAAGTAAGTTGAGATATCTCAACATAAAATAAGACCAAGCTTTAAGCTCTCTCGGAAATCCCTCTTTCAACTATATTACGCATTCAATTTGAAATAGTTAGGAATCTAAACTTTCCTTCTTCACTTCACTTAATACACGCGTTTGAAAATCCCTTGTATTCTTTTCAAAACACGTGCATGCGCAGTGTTTGACCGCTGTGTTTAAATTGGCTGCTATTAGCTGTTTACCTCAATCAATAAAATTTACTTCAAGTACAAATTAGCACTAAAGTAATATCCCATGGCAAACGTGAAGACATCGGCTATATTACTGTTTTCAATACATTAAAGGAAATCGACTTCGACTTTTTAAGTAAAGAAATAAGCAGTATATTTAGATATACTGCTATTTTTTAGGCCCGATAATCAATTGGAAATATTCTCGCTGTATTTTAGTCAATTCTGAATTCAATAAAACTTTATGAAACGACTTGAAAGAAATATAGGGGAAAGTTTAGGACAGTTAATCGCTCGGAAATGGTAAACATAGAATCAAAATCACTTGGAGACAACTGAAAAATAACCAGGAACAAGTTGATTAAAAAACGACCCATTCTAACTAATATTTTTAAAATTCGATGGTTTTTTTTAGAACTTCGCGCATATATTTTCTTAGATTATGAATTGATCTAACCATGATAATGTGAGGTAGCATTAAAAATAATTTTACAAATTTATGGTTAGCTTTTCCATTGCCTTCCCTTTAGTTGTTAAGATGTGAAAAAAATACAAGTTTTGAACTGAAAGTACCAGTACGATCGGGTAAAACTCGATATAGTCTAACTCCATGGACAGCAAAGTGCTTGTCTGATTGTCTGCTTCATTGCTTGTCTTACTTCACTTATCCTCCAGCAGTAAAGAAACGGGTTTAACGTCGTATCGACAAAGGCTCCAGTGTTCCTGAACAAGACCAACCAACAGGTCAGTTATTGCCAGAGAACGGTGCAAGAGTTTAGACGGCGGGTGGAGGGAATGTTCCTTGTGAAGGGCAACAAGGATGAGAGAATTTGTAAGGAATGCTGTGATGGAGAGGAGAATGAGCACTGCGGAGGAAAAAGCAAATCTTTGATGTAATCCACCTGCAAAAGATGGGGGTGGATAACAGTTCTTCAAATAGTTTCGTCCGTGTTCCACCGCAAGTGAACTTTGTTGCCGACATTGTTCTGTATTCGTTTCCTTTTTCTTGTGCTGAGGCAACTGACAACGAAAAATCTTTCGTTTAAACAGCACACGCCAGCGACGATGACTGAAACTTTCTTCAATAAACACATAACGACTTCCTCATCAGCGTCTGCTCATTCAAAGTACGTATGCAAATTGTCTGTTGTGCCAAAGAGTTGATTTCTTTTTTTCCGGAAGCTGTGACTAGCCTCTTGTATGAAACAGCAGCAAGAGGCAAACAGAGAGACAACTGTGATATCATTTTTTCACAAGGCGAAAAACAATCCTATTTTTTTAGCGGATCGACCGTTGGAACCCGTGGGGTGCCTCACGGATGAAATAGCAATAAAAAGAAAAAAATAGAGACATCTGTAATATCAGTTTTTTCAAATCAAAATGCTATAAACAATCCCCTTAGATTCAAGCTTTTTTTTTAATATTTGAATTAATTTACATTTTAATAGTTTGATTCATTCGGAGATGTCACGAATCCAATTTTTCTTACATCATTCAAAGTTGCCAGCTTGATCTTCGTACTTTCAGTTTGTCGAGGCTGATAATGATTGAAGTATTTATTTCACGTAGATGATATGGACACTTGATTAGCTCCCTATTAATGAAAGTTCATTAAGAAGAGAGACCAAAATAGGAACAAATTAGCTTTAAGAGTCAAACGTACAGACAGACATCTGTGATACTATAAGCATTTCACAATTATTTTAAACGCCGTCTTCTCAGGTACGTAGAAATTCACCTTTAGCTAAGCGGAGAACAGGGAGTATAACGTTTAATCTCGGAAAATTAAAGGTTTTGAAAAGAATTCAATAAGAAAAGGAAAGTTTTGATTTAAATCCATGCACCCACTTACACAATGTTCGTGTTATTATATCATTATCAATTGCATTTTAAAACATTCATAAGCAATATGGATATTTTTCTAATGACAAAACAAAATTAAGTTTACAACTGTTTACAACAAGGACAAGAGAGTTGTCAGGAGATGCTGTGATGGAAAGGAGAATGTAAACCGCAGAAAAAAAAAATTGTTGGTTGATGCAACTAATCTACCAAACAGGTGGATAAATTAAAGCCATTGTTTCTTTCGCTTTCTTATAATAACATTCATGAGAGTATAATTTACGTCAAGAGATTATAGGAGATTATATATTCACTTGTGCACGTATATCTTTCCTTCAATAAATAATTGATGCATACAAAGTAAAGTTCAGTGGCATGTAAAATACTTTATAAAAGGTTTGGTTTGTGTCTCCATTAGTTTTCCTTTACTTTGTTTCACGCGACTAGCAAAAAACACCAGCGACATACCTCGAGCAAAAATTTAAGTGGAAAGCGTTCTCTATCGGTCAGCTTTGCACTGAAGGTACTTATACGATCATGAATAACTCGAGAATGGTCTAACTCCATGGACAGCAAAGTGCTTGTCTGATTGTCTGCTCCATTGCTTGTCTCACTTCAGCAATCTTCACCTGCAGTATAGGAACGGGTTTAACGTCGAATTAAAGGATACTAAGATAGTTGCCATTTGCAATATGACGACTAAGTGTGATGAATATGTTGTGCTATATACTGCCTTTCTGAATCGCGCCGTGTTCAGTGCATTTGTTTGGCTCGGCTGTTGTTGATCTCGTACTTGTGCTTGATGATATCTGAGAGTGCAAAAAATCTTTGTGTACGATGCGAATGATATTACCAGGCAAAATGGTGAAACTATGGAGCCGTACAGAAAGATTATACGGTTATAAAAAATTCACTTAAAGAGGCGACAAGGGCAAAAATCCAAAAGGTAGTTACAATAATATACGTGCGCTTCAAAGTTACAATTTGCTTGTATCGCAGTCCCAACAACAGGGCGAGAAGTCTGTCCAAGCTTATGGCCGTATCGTCATCAAAGACACTAAAAAATAATACATTGGCTGTGATGTAGGCTGCGTCCCTTACGTATCGACAAAGGCTCCAGTGTTCTTGAAACACGGACATCCAATATAGAGCACTGAGAGGCAGGAATGCAAGACCAACTAACAGATCAGTTGTTGCCAGACAACAATACAGGAGTTTGGACGGCGGATGCAGGGAAGATTCCTTATGAGGTGCCACAAGGATAAGAAAATTTCCAGCAAATGCTGTAATGGAGAGGAGAATGTCAACCGCTAAGAAGCAAATTGATTGTTGTTGAAGCCCACCCACCAAAGAGGGAGAGCATAGCAGTTCATAAAATGATTTCGTGTGACTTCTACCGCTACTGAAATTTGTTGTCGACATAATTCTGTCTTCGGCGTTTCCCTTTTCTTATAGGTTTCTGTTCTTGCAACGAAAAATGACAGCAAGGATTACTGTAGCTTTACTTCCTAACTAACAATCGCATGCTGACTTACTCATTTAAAATGCATCATGAAATTTTCGATTGGATCAAAAAAATATTTTTTCCCGGGAACCTTTGGGTGCCTCTGTTATGAAATAGCAATAAAAGGCAATTATAGAAACATCTGTTATTTCAGTGTTTTTGCAGGGCGGCAAGAGTCGCTCTTTATCAGAATTAAATTTCATTATAATAGGATGCAAATCAAGGGTCCATTCCTTTCGTGTGAAGTTGAGACTTGAATCATTATCAGCTACGGAAAGCTAAAAAATGCAAAAGCTCACTCTGGTGATGTCAATTGTACTAGGAGAAAACTTGAATTTGTGACAATCACCCAATGTACTAGGTAGAAAACACAATTATTCAACTATGCAAACTTGTTTCAAAATATTTGAAATTAACTGTGTATTTAACTGCGCTTTGTAGGTTTTTTTTCTCTCCGTTTCGTATCCGACTAGAATTAACAATAAAACAGTAACAGGATCAAGTTATCCCTTTGGCAAAACATTTTCTACAACTGTAAAAGGAAAGTTATTCAATTTTTGTTCCTGCGATTCTCCTTTGGTGATAACAGTTAGTTTCCAATTATGAAGTAGACAGGATAATTTATTAATCGAGATGGAAAATGAAGGGATGGGCGCTCAAAGCTTAACAACAGTCGATGAAAAATTTACAATTGTTCTAGGAGAGGCTTTGTCTTTACCAACTCTGACCCATATTTCAAACTCTCTAAGATTGTCTCGTGCTTTATATCGCACACTGAGGAACGAATAAGTTGTTAAGATGACACCTGCTTGCCACGGCGGATTCGGACTTGCATTAGGCCTAGTTTACATGATTACGTTTGTTTCGACGTTATACATATAAGTAAATACCCGTTTTTAAAAACCTTTCAAATTTGAAAATAAATATCAAATAAATTTATCTTTTCTTTTCTCATCAAAAAAAGACACCGTGATGAGAAAAGAAAATACACACACACACATATACATATATATATAAATATATATATATATATATATATATATATATATATATACATAGACCATTTAATATATTTTTTTCAAATAGCAGCATTTTCGAATATATAAACCATTTTTCGAAAATGCTGCTATTTGAAAAGATATATTAAGTGGTAAATGTTTATATTTATATATTAACTTTAGATCCATTGTTTTATTTTCGGACGGGAAAATTGCTGATAGACAAACCAACAACTCATCCAAATCTTTTATATAGAGTAAGAGTTTATCCAGAAAATTTTCAATTTCTGCAGCTGATCAAACTACTAAAAGCGTTTGTGTGGGCTGCGACAAGTTTTTAATCTCAAAGGTATTCAGTTTTAGTACAAATTAGCACCAAAAGGTAATTTCGTTGACAAACAAATAGACATCGGTTCATGCTGTTTGACAATACGATAGGAAAACTTTTTTTGTCATCTTTTTAAATGATGAAATAAGCAGTACATCAAGATAAGATGTCATCTGAGTGCCCAATTGAAATATTCTTCCTTTATTGAAGACAGTACTAAACAATAACGAGGAAAAGTTAGCCTATGTGACCCTTTGATCTAATTTTCTTTCTTCCTACGTCTGGTTATTGAGATTATAAAAGTGTTTTTGTACCAAGAAAGCTCTCGTGTAAAAGGCAGGTAATTTTGCGATGCTCTGGGGCAAATGTCAAAATTTCCCTTTCATCACAACAGTTACATCTTAATACTGAAGTGAAGAAAACAATTTATAAGTGGTGGTCGAAAATCAATGGACGTATGCTAAGGAATTATCAAAACTCGCCGCACAGATCTTCAATTCTACCTTCATCAGCAACATTTACTTCAGAACTCCCTCACTAGCGATTACTCTTTGAAAAGATTATTGACAAAAGATCGATGTACAACGATTCCATTGAACTTCTAATTTTCTTCGCTTAAGCAATAATATTTTTGACGAGCACTCCCTAACAATTATCGTGACTTAATGAAAGTCTTACAAGACCAAACCGAAGAGGAGGTAACGCTACGGACAGCAAAGTACTTCTCTGATTGTCTGTTTTACTGCATGTCTTACTCCCCAAATTTTCTAACAACAAAATACGGATATAACTTCAAGTTAAAGTAAAATGAGACAACTGATACTCTCCATACAACGACTGAGTCTGATTGATATGTTTTACTTTAGATTGGTGCGCAACAAACAACTAACGCTAACCGCACCCGCAGTGCACTGTACACAGCCTCTCTGTATCGCGTCAACCGAATAGCGACTGCATCTAAACTAGTAAATAGTGTGTGTTAACCCCTTAACTCCCAGATCAAATTTTTATTTCTCCTTACTATCAGTCATACAATTCTTATAATGTTAGTCAAGAGAATATATTATTGGATCAACTAATTATCCCCAAATTGATATTTTTCTTTACTCTCACTAGTTATCTGTTTGATTTTGTATTGATATTGTAAGGAGAAATTCTGTCTTGGTCACTCATGGGAGTTAAAGGGTTAATTAATTAAGATATGAAGCACACAGAAAACTGAGGAGACATCATCCAGCCATGACACCCTCGGCCTCGTTTTGAGTACGAAATTTCATCAAATACTAAATTATTCATTTCGTAACATATTTACTTTTCTTTCGACTCTACATTATTTATTTTAACTTTTAAACCATTATTGTATTCATCGATGGGGAAATAGCTGAGAAGCAAACCACACGAGTGCCTTCATTGTCAAAAAAAATGCAACAACTTATTTGATTCTTGTGTAAAGTTCTTTTCTCGGCAATTCTCCTTCCCATTTATCTCTTCTTTAATTATTCCGAATAGCGACTGCAGCTTGACTGGAAAACAGTTATAAATAAGCAACACAGCGGTCAAATGATTACGCGTGCGCTTTTAGATGGATAATTTGCTATTCTAGACATTGAGAATCCAAATGATGCGTAGTTTTTTGAAGTTTCTTAGGAAAGGTCAAAGTTTCTAAGGCCTAGACTTATACAATTTGTTGCTCTAGACTTAACCCATGTGGTTCTAGTTTACTCTCTCGTACTTTTTTTTTAAACTTTGCCTAGCGGCGCGATGAAATCGTAAGCCTGGACGTGCTGGCGGTGGTTATTCCTTATTGTATTTATGGTAGAGTTGCCGTCATCACCGAGGGAAATGTTTGAAAAAAGGAAGAACCAGTGCCACATAAGATATTGGTGACGATAACAGGTCTATTTTATGATAGTAGACTGTGTAGCGAGGGTAGAAGAAAGGTTCTGTAATTTGATTTAGACCAAGATTTAAGTTTTCTCCGAAATCCCTCTATCAACTGTATTACGCATTCAATTTGGAATAGTTAGAACTTAACCTCTCCTTCTCCACTTTACGCAGAACACGCGTTTGAAAATCTCCCGTATTCTTTTCAAAACACGTGCATGCGTAGTGTTTGACTGCTGTGGTTGAATTGGCCGCTACTAGCTGTTTACTCCAATCAATAAAATTTAATTCGAGCACTAATTAGCGCTAAAGTCAAATCCCATGGCAAACATGAAGATATCAGCTATATTGTTGTTTTCAAAACAATAAAGGAACTTGAGTGTGACTTTTTCTAAGTAATGAAATAATCAGCATATTTAGTCCAATTTTAGTCCAATCACGAGTCCAATTTTTTTTTTTACATCATTCAAAGTTCCCCGCCTGATCTTCGTAATTTCAGTTTGTCGAGGCTGATAATGATTGAAGTCCTAATTTCACACAGATGATATGGACACTTGATTAGCTCCCCATCGATGAAAATTCATAAGGAAAAGTGACCAAAATAGCAACAAATTACCTTAATTTAAGAGTCAAACGTAAAGATAGACATCTATGATACTATTAGTATTTCGAAATTATTTTAAACTCCGTCTTCTCAGGTAGAAATTCGCCTTTAGCTGAGCGGAAGAGATGGAGTCTTACGTTTAATCTCTGAAAAATTTAAGAGCTAATGTCAACAAACATTAGACAAACAGCGGCAAGTCACCCAAAATTGTTTTCACTCATACTTTCATTTTTGTAGCCCAATATGTCCCAATAATTGTGGTGTAGATTTTTTGTGAGAATATATATTCTTTTTCGAGAAATAATTTTTTTAGCTCGACCGCTCAAATATGCAAATTTTACCGTGAATGTCACTCGAGTTGTGTGACCTCGTGTAACGAATATACTTGACCTCCGCTATTTCTGACAACATAATCCTTTGATGTATCATCTAAACTTAATCCCCTGTCATTATTGAAGCTGGCAAAGAAATATTTATTTTTTGGTGAATATTTTTGTCCGAAATACTTTTTCTATGTCGAAAAGTAGCATCAAGACAAAGACAGTTTAAACATTGACCGATATGACAAAATCTACTGAGCTTCTAGCTTTTGAAATACAAAAGGATGGTTATGAAGTTACTGTAAAAAATTTCCTTGTGTATTTGTGTTGTTCTAACGTGAGACGAACTCAAACTCGGACAAAACATACTTGCTAGCGACTATGAAATATACATGGTGCCTACTTGTCGCCACCGTTTACTGGAATAAATCACAACAATTTAAGAAAAAAGTTTTGCAAGTTTTCAGATACCGAAAATGAAGTTGATCTGACTTTGTCGCAAGCCGGCATCTTCAAGACGCCGAAAGATATCGATGATTTGACAATTTTCCCCACTCATAGATCAAATCTCGGTGTTGGGTGGAGTCGTGGTTCCAATAGCAGATGTAGATTGCCAAAAGAAGTGTTCGGCCATGGTGAAGGCAGGGTCAAGTCGATTCCAAAATGCGATAGGGAAATTGGCAAGTGTGTTTCACGGATAATACTCAAGGTATCTGGAAAATTCTTACAACCTGGCTCCGGTAAGTACGCTACTTACCACCGTGTGCAAAATTACGCCTCCCGTCAGACTTAAGTCTCGACTGGGAATTGGTCAGTAGGCTACCAAAAATCCAGACAGAGGCGGAGTTTTCTATACTAATGTCTGAACACTTTGTTGGCTTCCCGCCGTCTGGCGGGACGCGTAATTATGCACACAGTAGTAAAGGGCCCTCCCGTACTAGCTATTAGACGCTGACAAAACTTGTTTCTCTTCACCAAAAATCACATCAAAATTTGTCCTTGCTAAATTTGAAGCATGCTGCACGTATCAGCATCCCCCGGGGGACCCTGTACATAAGAAAAAATCGTCCTAGTAATGCATATTTCAGGATTTTTTTTTTTTGAGCGAAAAAACACCCTAAAAGGTACCAACTACGTCTCTGGTAGTCCACTAAAGTTTCAGACACCGTAAAAGGTACCAGATCACTGATTTTGACCCCTAAAAGGTACGACAAGCATCCTCACCCATTTGTCATCGCCTACCCCTTCTCCCCCACCCCAGGTCAGCACCTAAAAAACAAAAAAAAATGTGATTTGCCAACTACGAGCTGTCAATTTCACCTCGTAAAATTAACGTGAACTGGTTAATCAATTATAAAAACCTTTAGGCACTTATCTGTCAGATTTTTATGGTTGACACAGGAGCTCATTACCCTAATGGGTTCCTGTTGACAAAATCTGTCCTGTTCGGAGGCAGGACGGCCGTACTTTTGAAGTTTTGTTCGTCTTGACATAATTTGGTAGGGATTAAAATAACTGTACGTCTGCATTTGTTAAAAAGAGTTTATCTAAGCCCGATAATCAATTGGAAATATTCTCGCTGTATTTTGGTCAATTCTGAATTCAAAAAAAATTTATGAAACGACTTGAAAGAAATATAATGGAAAGTTTAGGACAGTTAATCGCTCCTTCATAGGGGAAAGCAGTTTAAAACTTTTGCATGGAGGCTACGCATACTCTTTTCTGGGAACTAGGAAGTAACGCCGAGGAAGACTTTTTTGTTGATTGATGTACGTCTTCGCTAAACATTTTTTGGGGCTCATGTAATATTAATCAATGTTCGCCTCTCCTTTTCAGATTTTCGTTACCAACGCATATATGCCACCGTAAAAGGATTCTTTACAAAACGATTTAATCTAGTAGATTATCTCTGTCTAATCCGAAGAACTAGTGATAATTCTATCACTCCATAAGACTTAAACCCCTTAACTCCCAAGATCTGATTGTTAATTCTCCTCTCTCGCTGCTATACATTTCCTTTTAACGAGCTGTTCAATCAATTGATTTATGCATAGGGTATTTCATTTTCGTCAAACGCTTAAACGTTAATTCATATGATCAAATTTCTTTCAAACAAAGAACACTAATGAAGAAGAAAACGGCTTTGAATGGAACATGAACTCGATAGACTGAAAAAACGTAAAATGATAAAAAAATGTAAAAATAATAAAAATAACGTATAACGCATCTACGTGCGCCCGTGTATTATTCACTATTTATGACTCATTTCCTCGGAAAACTTCACAATGTGTCATCAACTTTTGGTTTTCTTGAGAATGTCACGCAATGGTAAAAACATCATTATGGTCGTGAAACAAAAAGTGAGTCATTTGCATCCTTTTGGTGGCAGCGAGAAATTTTTAACGCTCGCCATCCCCAGCTCGAAGCGTTGCTTCTAGGTTATCGCGAGCTAAATTTCAGAGGAATAAAATCAAACATTCCTACGTCGTGAGACCACTAGGAAAAGAATACCCTCTCGACACTGTTCGTGTTATAAGTCACCTTCTGAAGAACTCATAAAAATACCTTCGGTCTTGCAAAATTTTACAAATTTAACAGGTTCTTAAGGACGAATTCAACGCTCCATCGCTGACGAAACGTCGTTTTAAGGTAAGCTCTGAAATAATTAATTAGACCAGGTGGATTTTTGTCTCACCCACTCGCAGTGTTCCATCAATAATATTGCCAGTTTGTATTAACAAAGAAAAACTTATTACATTGTAAAATATAGACAATCCGGCATGAGGCGTGGGGTCTTGGTTTCATATAGGTCTTTCAGCAAAGTGAGCCGGCAACAACACACTATGCCATATGATCGCAGACAAGAGCAAGTTATGAAAATGTTATCGATCTTAAGTGCTGTGTCCCTGCTTACTCTATTTTTTTAGAAGAGTATTTAGCGAGAACCGAGAAAACCGGGTGTTACGAGATAAGCTGAAGCGTTTTTCCTTTTTATTTTGATTATAAACTACCGTCTACGTGTTACATCCTGTTCGCATTATAGAAATTGAAGCAGTTGTCACAAACACACGTTTCGAGGGGAAGATGTAAAACGCTCCTTGCTTATTAAATGATACAAAACTTGGCTGGTATTTTCAGTCAGAGAAAAAATTTAAGGCGACAAATCAAAATACGAATTCTTTAACACATCATCTGACTTCTTTTGAAAAATGTAGGTTATATTACGAACACAGCGTAACTGAATATTCATCAGCACACCTGTAGAAAATGAAAATAGGCTGAAATCAAGCTCACATATAGATTTTGGAATAAATGATCGTCTTCTTTGCTCTTTTCTTTGTCCTACATAAATTCACGAGTGAACCACATGATCCTCGTTCTTGTTCGTCATAACTTGAGTCGGAAATTGAACGCCTAATTGCATTTGCTCGTTCTACATAAAATCATGAGTGCTACCCGTTGGTGATTTTCATTGAAGGCATTCTGGGTGGCGAATATTTATCTATTAGTTTAGTTTGAAATGACAGAAAGAAATGGTTCAATATGAAAGAAAGAAAACATAACAATTAATCCGAGTCATTTCGTTAGTGCCATACCCCCTGACTGTGGTGTATTCAAAGTTCTAGGGAGCATGCCCGAAGGTGTGGTTGCATAAACAACATGGCGCGATCGGTAAGAAGTAAAGATCGTGTAGATTATTATTGCTTCTAAAGGGAAAAGGAAATATAAACCTGGGGTAAAATTGTATCAAGTGGAAAGACTTGTCGACAAATGGAAATGGTCGAACAAAGTTTCGCATATTATTATGATAATTTTGCAGAGTTGCAAACAGTGGACAGCTGATTTTATGACTAGCGTATTTACGTGTACACTATAATATATCACATTTAAATTACCTACCTTAAAATGCCTGGCTAAATTTTCAAAGTGGCTACCAAAACAGCGAAAAAAAAGTGCCTATGCGGCGAGCGCTCTCTATATTTTTTGACTTGTTGTGATACATCCCTGGTGAAAATCTTTGAAGGATCTTTAACGATCCTACAAGATCTTTATGAAAACCTTTCAAGATCTTCACAATTCTAGTTAAGAGCTTCAGGGATATTTCATTCTCTTGTCAGGATCTTCAATGATCTTCAAAGTTCTTGCCAAGATCTTCAAGGATCTTTTACTTTCCAGCCAAGATCCTGAACGATCTTGGCAGGAAAATTTTGAAGATCCGTAAAGATCTTGGCAAGAAAATTAAAGATCTTGGAAAGAAAATAAGAGACCCCTGAAGATCTTGACAAGAACTGAAAGATCCTTGAAGATTTTGAACATTTATTTTTTATCCCACATATTTCTTTATAATTGTTGTTTGGCCAAGGCCTGGAGAGGTCAAGTATGATCGATATCTCGGATTTCTGGTAATGGAAAACTACCTTGTTGTCTCAAATAGAGTGAATTAATACTCAGAAACGAAATTGCCATCATATTTTGGGATACGGAGGGGGTGTACATATTTCTTTTTTTTTTTTGCTTCCTGGCTTAGTCTACTGATTACAAATTTTATTTCAGCAATTAAATTCCATTTTGCCAAATTAAACTTCGCTCCATCACGTGTCATTTCCTTGTAAACAATCTGCATTTAATCACGTATTCTAATCGCAATGTCCAACCCCACTGGAAAAAATTCACACTAACTGCTACCGATAGTGAACTTTTAACGCAATTCTCCCGCGTTTTAACTTTTTCTACGAATAAACTCGGCTTTTAACTACCTTGAACTTAATCCAATCGCATGTTTATTCCTTGTAAACAACCTGCATTTTATAAAATATTTCACACACAGTGGGCAAAGTCCAGATAGGCAACAACCAATCAAGGAGCCCTCTCTCAAATATTATCCTTTTCTCTTGTGAAATGTATCTTCATTGGTCGAGATCGCAATATATCTTTGGTTAGAGTCTATTGAAGATACAACAGAGTTTCAGTTTGATTTTCGTAGTAGAATGACATGGAATTATATTTTTTAGGCATCTAACTGTAGAAGAATAATTTTGATTTTCTCTCTGGTAGAGAAACGGCAGTAAGCGTTTGGTCTCATCACGCTACGCGCTCTCTCTCCGTCGGGGAATAGATGACGTTGTGTGACGAGACCAAACAACTGCTGCGAAGGAGAAAACAGTAAGCGTGGCACCCATCCATTTTATTTTTGCTTAGAAGTATTTAGACAATAGAGAAAATAGACCAAAAGATACATTTGTGAGTTAAGCTAAATTACCTTTTTTCTCTCTTTCTCTTAAGGTGAAGTAATGTAATATTTTCGATCTTTTATAAAGTTATGCTCTTTTTCTGTTACAAAAATAAAAACATTAGGTACACAAAGTGTCCCATCTCATCCCACCCGGTCAAAAAGATAAATCTTGCATGCTACGCATGCCTATGTTTTTACTTGGAAGCCAGAAAATTCCCAATAAACTAGTTTAGTGCAAGTGACATTAACTCATGAGTATCACCTTGCTTTCGTGAGCTGTACTGAGAAATATTGGCACTTTGACATTTCTATACTGCCGTAACCTTGGGCCAATATTCCTTAGTAAAGACTCGTGCTCGAACGGTTAGTAAGAAGTTAGTACTGGCTTTAGAAAATGTGATCTACACTGTACATGTATCTAAGGCTATTTTGAATTCCAGAACAATTGATTTCCTTGTTCCTCTACGTTTCTTGAAATTTTTTGTATGTGAAGACAGCCAGCAAGGTTTTTTTTATGATATTTGAAAAACAACTAGTCTGGATTATCAGGATAGTTAAAGTTAAGTTAAAGTCAATTCTGTGCACAAAACAGTGTAAACATGAAATGATTGCAAAAACAATTAGTTTAACATACATATACTGGTAAACCACAAACATCAGCACCTGTACCAAATTGAAATCCATATCAACATACACCAGCATGTATTAGTGTATATATTTCATTGTTTTTCCTGTCATAAGTGTCCAGTTAAACTAACAGCCAGCTGCACACATATGGATGTCGGTTCAACTGGAGGAAATTGAATAAAAAACTTACACATTTTGTAGGTTTTGACCAGTAATCCATATTTAAAAATCAGCTAAGAGAATTTTACTTTGGTTTTGCAAAAGTTGTTTCTTATGAGAAAGGATTCACCATAAACTCTCCCCTCTTGTGGAGACATGGTGGCCTTATGATTAGTGAGGTGGAGTCAGGGTCAAGAGATCTGCATTTGTAACCTGGCCAGGTCATGTTTCTTGTTTTTGTGAAAAATAATTTACTCTCATAGTACCCCTCTCCACCCAGGAGTATAAATGGGTAGCAGAAATTAGTCAGGGGAACCTGATGAAATGACAAGAGGGAAGAGGGAGGGGGGAGGCGGGGTAACCATGGGGTGGACTGTCATCATGTCTAGGGAGGAGTAGTAATACCTAGTCGCTTCATGTGAGGAATCCAGGATTATAAGCTCAGGGCCTGGATGGGCCACTGCTTAAATACAGACTTTACCTAACTACCTACTACAGCCTCTGGTTTAAATAATTTCAATTGCTTCTGTTACGAATTATACGAACTTGCAACATACAGATGATGATTTTTTTGCCCAATTTATCTCAGTCAATTAGGACTGTCTTTTGTAAATCTTCAAATTTTGAAAAATCCAGACAGAGGCGGAGTTTTCTATACTAATGTCTGAGCACTTGGTAGGCTTCCCGCAATCTGGCGGGGCGCGTAATTAAGCACACAGTGGTAAAGGGCCCTTCCGCAGTAGCTACAAGACGCTGACAAAACTTTTTTCTCTTCACCGAAAATCACATCAAAATTTGCCTTTGCTAAAGTTCAAGTGTGCTGCACGTATCAGCACCCCCGGGGAACCCCTATATATAAGAGGGCGAGGATGCGCGCCGGAATTTCGAAAACGACTCCTATAAAATTATAAAAGGTACCTGAGTCTTATCCGTGTGGGAGTGGCAACAACAGATATCTACCCCTATAAAGTATCAATTTAAACTCAAAAAAATTGAAAAATCCCAAAAATAAGAACTTCTTTATCGATGTGCTCTAGAGGCTCAAGTCAGATCATTAAAATCGTCCTAGTGCTTATTAAATGCTTATTTCAGGTATTTTATTGAGCGAAAAACATCTTAAAAGGTACCAGCTAGGTCTCTGGCAGTCCACTAAAGTTGGAGACACCATAAAAGGTACCAGATCACTGATTTTGACCCCTGAAAGGTACGACAAGCATCCTCACCCATTTCTGATCGCCTCCTCCCCAACCTCCCCCACCAACCCTGTCAGCACCTAAAAACAAAAGATGTGATTTGCCAACTACGAACTACGAGTCAGTCTCACCTCGTAAAATTTACGTAAAGTGGTTATTTACCTATAAAAACTTTAGGCACTGATCTGTCAGATTTTTATGCTGACAAAATCTGTCCTGCTTTGAGGCAGGACGGCTGTACTTTTTTTCGTTTTGTTCGTCTTGACATCATTTGGTAGGGATTAAAATAACTGTACGTCTGCATTTGTTAAACAGACTTTTCAAGTGCATCCGGAACTCGATCTGTGCACTTCTAGGGCATAGAGTATTCTTTTGTAACATAGCCAAAGATCTTGTGATGTCTACTGTTCAAGCCTTTTTCTCTTTTCAAAGAGGCATCAGAATTATTTTGATGTCAAATTTGGAGTAAACTGCTTGCGTGTCATCCTTTGTTTTCAAGGTGTCCGACCAGGTATGACTGAAAATGGCACCTCGCTTTGATAAGAATCCTTTTGTTGTTGCTTCTTACTTCCTGAAATTATCACTTGAAATTCGCTCGGTAATGTAAAAAAAACAACAACAACAACAACGCGAGTAATACTTATATATCCAAATTCTTTCATCACAGGAAAAGTTGTAGGACCTGATAGCATCTTAGGGACGGACCATTAGATTTTTGATGCGGGGGAGGGGGGGGAGGGTGTTGGGCAATAACCCCCGAAAAATCGAGCACCGGCTAGCGGCTCAATGTAAGAAGACAAATCGTCAATGGTCCGTCAATAAGGTACCTTTTACATTATTCCAAAATGGGTTTCACTCCGGAATGAAATGAATTTCATGCCGCGTTTACATGCAAGATAATTTAGATTATAAAAACAAGTAATAAAAACAAGTATTTACGTCCTTTTTCTATGCTTCCCTCGCTCCTAAAGAGGATTCATACAGATATGAGTGTCGTAACGCGTTTACTTTACACAGGTACAAAAGGTCGTCCAGAATAAGTGTTTCGTTCTGGAATGAAAACCTCAATAAACTCATTCACAAATGACGTGTTTCGAATAATTTTCATCTGGTATCATGCGACAAAACTCATTCCGAGGTCAAGTAAATTCGTTACATGAGGTCATACAACTCGGGTAATATTCAGAGTGAAAATTTGCATATTTCAGCGGTCCAACGAAAAAAATCATTTCTCAAAAACTAAAATGTATTTTCACAAAAAAACTACACCACAATTATTAGGACATATTGGGCTACAAAATATGAAAGTAGGAGAGAAAACGAATTTGGGTGACTTGCCGCCGTTTGTCTGATGCATGTTGACATTAGCTCTTAATTGGCTTCTGATTTTGTGTCTATGTATCCCTCCCATTCTCAGAAGGGAAAAAATATTTATTTTGCAACTGGGTAATATGTTGAGCTGATGTTTATAACCATTTTTAATCACCTTTTTTTCAGGCTAGGATGACATAAAAGAACAACTTTGTACGAAGCATCAGTCTTCTTACAGTTGCTATGGCTACAGGAAGAAGTTCAATTAAAGTTCCATGTGAAAATGAAGACTTACCTGACAAAGAAAATGCACCAAATTTTGACGAGGACACTTTACGAGGTGAGCTAGGTTCAACTTCGGCTTCAGTAATTGTTAGAACAATTTCTATTTGATCAGGATCACTTTCAAGAATGCAAGCAGATGTGGAAAAGGATACATACACTGTATGACCACTTTAAAGGATATTTGACCAGTCATGACTCTCTTCTATGATTACAATATGCTGTTAATTGAGAAGATCTATGACACAGAAACTTTTGCTATTTTCTTTTCTAACAGTTCAAAGCAATAACACAAAGTTATAATAAGTTATAAGTCTCCTCGAGCAACCCACAGGCATTTGATCTTCATCCAAGCCAAAGAGGGTGGGGGGGGGGGTTTAACCCTGGCTGACTGGCGTTAGGGAATTTGAATAAAAACTGTCACATCTAATTTCCAGTAGAGTACAAGTGTTAATTATCATTGAATATGGAGGTGTTTAAGGTAGATAGTGTACTTTCACTAACAAATGGCTCAGAAGAAATAAGACTTCAAGATCTTGGTTTTAAAGCTTGGTCAATTAGTTTTTAAAGCTTGGTCAACTAGTTGAAAGTCAAATTACTAATTATTTCGCCTTTTACATAAAATTGTGTGGGGCATTTGAACATTTTATTAATTTTTCCCAGGGAATGGAAATTTTAGGAAACCTATCTCCAAAAATTTAAATGCCCAGGGGTTTGCCTCAAGTTGAGTGATGCTTAACTCTCATTGTTATTCTTACCCATGTTGTCACCTACATCATTGGCATCATCATAACTATTGAAAATCTGCAGATTTTAAATCTCCAGATCTTGGCAGCTCTGATTATACACTAATAATTATTAACTACGACCACAGACTTTGACACCTGTTTTTAATTTTTTTTTCGAATTATTTTATTTGTTCTTTGCAGCCACAGCTGATGTTTATAGAAATGAGGGTAATGAGGCCTTCAAGAAAGGAGATTTTATCAATGCTATTCATTTTTACACCAAAGGAATTAAAATGAACTGCAACGAGAAGGAACTGAAGGCCAAACTGCACAACAACAGGGCTATTGCATATTCTAAACTTGGTAAGATGATGAGAGCTTTAATATGCATTTTTTTTCTATTTTGAAGCTATTGAGTTGTCAGTAGTAGTTTTCTGAAAAAGGTGATAATTTTGAATGCATGCCCGGAAAAATTTACATCTTATGTTGGCCTCTCAAATATACAAAGATGTAATCTCTTACCCCAGATATCAACGAGCATCACAAGTTTTTCTCAAAATTATAGTAATGGTAATTGGTTTGCAACATGTATGGCTAATCAGAGATATTTATTTCAATAACAGGAAATCACCAGGATTCACTAAGGGATGCAGAAGCAGCCATTGAGTTAAATCCAACTTTCTTCAAGGCAATTGTGAGAGGTTAGATATGTTAGCTATACTATAATAATAAGAATAAAAAAAGAACTCAACACTCTAAGGTTAAATGAGGTTAAACAGAGTTCAATCTTGTCTCAATGGACTTTAATTAAGAGGTCGAGACCACCCTGATGTACATTTGAATCCAGCTCTTGACTGCTACGCCATTACTTCCATTAATCATGATGAGAATATTATTTTGAACGGGGTGAGGAACTCAATGCGGAATGCAAAGTAAAATTTCAGCATGAATATTTTAGTTCCTTAAGTCCAATGAGTCACAGGTGTCAGATATGTTAAGAGCGTGTCCACGAGAGCACCGGGCGGTCGTGCTACATGCCATCTCACCGATTTCAATGAAACTTTGCCAGTTTAAAGGGTCTACCCCGAAACTCAAAACGACAAACTGGTTTCTGTTTTGGTTTTTTTTTCCGGGGGGAGATAGACCACCCCCCCGGTTTTTCTTGGTTTTCACCAAGGAAATCGCTTCAAATAGGTAAAATGTATGAAGCTCTCACTGCGATGTTATTTAACTGATTACTTTGAGAATTTGCACACATATTTTTACATCCTTAGTTAATGTCTGCTGCCAGTATCAGTCAGTTTGATTGACGGCTTGTCAATCAACAGAGGCAAATATACGACTGTGTTTTTAGACTTTTCGATTCATCTAAATATTTTACAACTTTGAGGTCAAATATCTCCCGTTGCCAGACAGCTACAACACTAATCTTAATTACCCTTTATAACCCATCATTTCATCTCTGAAAATCATCAAAAAAATCTTTGGGCACTACGGTATTTTTGTCTTGGATGCCTTTTAAAATCTGCGACTCTGACAAGTTTCTCTCAACTTCACCTGTCACGCAATTCTTGCTCTAGGCGGTCACTTGACAAAATAAACCTACATTTTTTAGCTCTTTTTATACAAGATGATTGATCAAGAAAGGTGAAAATTGTGAAAAACTTTCCAGAAAAACTTTCGAGATACATGTAGACGAAAAATCAATGGGAAAATCGTAGCGTTTCTTTCTTCGGTTAGTTTATTACTTTGAAGATTTGCTAAAATCAGCAGATATGGCTTTTGTACGGCACAAAACATTCATTAGTCTATAATTTGATTGTTTATTATCACCACTGCTCATTTTAGGAGATTTTAAAGTCACATGCTGCGGGTTGGCTGATATCACTACATGTTCCAGTGTGCTACAACTTCGGCTTTCACAGACGAGAAATTCTGCGCTCTCGCTCGAGAGCAAATATAAATTGTTCTATCGGACTAAAAACTGTGCTTCTATCCCGAAAATAAAATGAAAATAGTGTTGACGTTGTCACTTACCGCCATCGAACATTTACATACAGAACTCCGCTATGCTAACATCTGTTGTGTGACCCAAAGACTCTCCGTAGGAATTATATAAGCGCGTTGTTCATGCTATCTGCTAGATAACAATTTCAGAATAATCTGCAGATCTCTATGATTATTTACCTGTTTCGATCGTAAAATATCTGCATATTTTTTCAAGCATTCTATTACTACATATAAATCTACATCTCTCTAGATCGAGTGTTGCGGGCGTTTAATTGCGTGACTTGTAAAATTTTTAAATAAGAATGAGCCAGCAGTAATTTGACGAGTAGCCTTCCTGCAAATTTCCCTTGATGAAATCCCAAGACATAGCCAGTTGTTTTCGTGAGCAAAGACAATAAATATAAAAGAAAAGTGAGATGCGAATGTCTTTTTTATTTTTTTAGCTTAATAGCAGCTGTACCCTCTCCTGCAGTCTTCGTCTAAATTTTGCAAGGTCCCTCCTTATCTTCTGCCTTGTTCGGTCAGTTTCGAATTCGGAAGCTAGATCATTGGCATCGGCCTCTCCGTCCTTATTCATATTTACAGAGGGGTACCTCATCAATAAACCAATTTTTGTTACAGCAGATAACCGGCTGAAGTATCGAGCGATTTGCTGCTGTATCAACCGGTCAGTCTTAGACAACATTTCTGGCTGGTGTCGTCTCTTAAACTCTCTCGATATTTGGGAAATCACATAAGAGGCGGTTGCCTTACTAGTTTCCTCCCTTGCCCAGCACACGTCTAGGAGATAATTCCCTGCTTTCTGAGAAAAGGTGGCTGTTTTTTGTGTTTTCCAAAGAGCCCATCCAAAGTCCTCTTGGCTAGTTAAGGATTGTTCGTCAAAATTTTTACCTGAGGTCCGTCCTCGAACGTAGCCGTCCCCTATAGAATGGCAAGCCGGTCTTAGTCCATTTCCTCTTGATCTTATCCTAGGCGGAATTTTTTTGTCGGCTTCACTGTGTCTGTCTTTGTCAGGTACATTTGGATGGCAGCCAATGACTGAAACGTCTTGATACATCCTTTTAGCAAGAATATCTCGCTTTCTTGTTCCGTCTATGACGGATTGGGTTTAGTTCTCGCGATGACCTGCGTTCAGAAATCTGTGCACAGTTGCTGATAACCACCCGCTTCTACCACTAGTTTGCTGAAGGTTTCTAATGTGATGAGCCTAGTGAGACCCTGAGGTGCTTCAAACTGTGCCAGTTGGTCTGCGCTATAAACTTGTCGCAGTTCTTTAGTCAGAGGGAGGATCGCCCACCTCTATCTATGTGAGCGCTCTTCTTGCCCTTCTTCCTTATTCATTGTCGACTCTAAGATAGCAGCTACAGTACGCGTTCTATTTAGGTTTACAGTCAGCTTGCGGCCACCAGAAAGACTCGCCACCAGCTTTGATTTCTTCTGCCATCTGCAGATTCATCTCTCTCTCACTTTATGTCTCCGATCTTTATGAGGAGGAAACTGGCATTTACGAACCCGAAGGTCTGAATCTCACACCAAATTGTGCACGATATTTGAGGTACATCGTGAAATCGCGGCCTTCGTAATCTCCAAATAAGCCAATACGCGCTAGAATAAGCTCCATCTCGGACGAAACGCATGTTTGGGATACATCGACGTCTCTCAAATGTTTTTTTTTTTTTTTTAAGCTGTATACCCACGAATTTAGAGGTATGAGCTGTTGCCGTCCCTGGCAAGCGCGAGAAAAGTAACATTTTGTTGTACAGTTAGTTGGAAATGAACAAGACAACTGCACCATCTTGACTTTATCAATTCGAGTGTTAGATTGAATTGAGGGCTTTTTAGACTCTCGATTTCTTATATGGCATCACTATGAAGACGTAATACAACTGATACACCTACACTACAAAGGTTTAACAATGTCTGTTGCGCTCTTGCTAGAAGGAGGAAAATATTACCGAAAGTGTACGCTCTTTTTAAAAAGAGTTTCAGAGACGTTTCAGAGATGTCTATCTTTGATCGGCTGTCACAAAAAAATGACCCCCACTTAAATTTACCAGGAAAAATGAACTTACCAACTCCTTGTTGAAAAAATTGGAATTCATTTGACCGATACGCCGGTTGTTTCAATTTTTCTTTTTCCTCGGGCTGCTATGAAACAGTTCATAAATTGACTAGTGAATAAAGTGTTTTGAAATACCGTTCGGGATTTGCCTTTTTTTTCTGCGTGCAAATCAAGGGTAGACAAAGTTTTTAAAACATTTGACTAGAATTTCATGGAGTTCACCTCGATAATTCTCGTCGGCCAGAGTCAAGACGCGCCAAGCTAAGCGAAATCGCCCTCGAGTAAAAAAAAATTTTCCAAAGAATAAACGTGGCGAGCGTGAGGAAACGCACATTTTTTTCATCATTGTGATCAAAGCCCAATGATGTACCTAAATTGGTACTTACGGTATCAAACCATTGATTATGACAGGGTGAGCTTAGTTTTTCTGTCGAGGTCGACGTGACTTCACATTAAAAGCATGTTTGACGGAACAAACTAGTGAGCATCACAGCACGAACTGAGAAAGTAAAAACTTGTTTTTATCTCCCACGCGTTTCGTCTGACAATAGTAGACTTCATCAAGGATTTTTTCAAGTAGGGTAAATAAGCTTGCTCATATACAAATAGTAAATAAGTTGTGTCTTTACTATTGAAGTCAGTGGATAGAATACGCCAGGTGCGCCTACGGTGTTATACATGCGTGACATTTTCCGGACGTTACACGTAAGAGTACGTGATCCGTTTAAGGGTCACAGATTTAGTGTAAATATTTCACTCCTCAACATCACCCAATGTCTCTAATTTACAGAGGTCTTAGAACGTGTCATTATATGGAGTTGCCTTCTGCGGGTAGAAGGCTACAAGCGAATTTCTCAGGCGTAATTGCCTTTGATTTCTCAATTGATGTTGTCGCAAACACAGTTTTTGGGAGTCACGAGACAAAAAAACTTATCAGGACCTAGTTTCATGTTCTAATGGAAATAAATAGCAAATAAAAATACATTTTCTTGAGAAATAAAGTCACAAATGACGGGGGTTCTCTGAAAAAAATAGTGATAGAAAAGGATTTCAGTTGTGGTCAATATTGACTTTTCATGGCCTACTTGCAAATCTGAGGGAACGTGCTGAGGGAATAAAAAAACATAAATGTGTGATAATGCAAGCAAGAGAATGAAAATACAAATAAAGAAAAAGGAGAAAACATAGGAACCCGTCTTGCAGCGTGCAGATATCTTTTGAACCAGACCTACACACATAAGCCCGACACCAGCCAGAGAAACTCGAAAGAGTCCTAGCTCGCACGTGCACGCAGGAAAGGCCATGACAATCAGCGAAAACAATAGCAAATGCAGATGATATTTGCAGTCAAAAAGCAGGAAAATAAGATAACAGAAGGATTAGGAACTTCCTAGAAGTGTCTTCTTGAAAAGAAAAAGATGAACAATTTTTACTTCTCATAAAAGGTCACGCAGTGACCCTACAAATACTATTCCTATACGTGGAATTTCTTGATGGTGGAAAGTGGAAAAACCATTTTCCAGTCTTATTTTCTGGAAACATGGCGTAGTTAATGAATTTATGGGGCTATTGATATTTCCTAACAAATAAGGGGGGCAGAGTTTCCCGTCATTCGCGGTATGGAAAAGCCGAAGTTGTTACACTCGGGAACTTGTACGTCAACAAGCAGGCGACATGTGACTTTAAAATCTCCTCTCCTGTTACAGTTTCCTTATTGTGAACTGTGCGATAATGATAATAGACGATCAGAGTATAGGCTAATGAATGTTTTGTTCTGTACAAGAGCCCTATATCCTGATTTTAGCAAATCTTCAAAGTAATAAACGACTGAAGAAAGAAACGCTACGCTTTTCCCATTGATTTTCCGTCAACATGCATCTCTCTAAACGTGAAATTTTCCATTCCTACAAAAAATCTCGAAAGTTTTTCACACTTTTTACCTTTCTTGACCAATCATCTTGTATAAAAAGCTAAAAAATGTAGGTTTATTTTGTCAAGTGACCGCCTAGAACAAGAATTGCGTGACAGGTGTAGTCGATAGAAACTTGTGACAGTCGCAGATTTTCAAAGGTATCCAAGACAAAAATACAGTGGTGCCCAAAGACTTTTTTGATGATTTTCAGAGATGAAATGATGGGTTATAAAGGTTAATTAAGATTATTGTTGTAGCTTTCTGGCAACGGGAGATATTTGACCTCAAAGTTGCAAAATTTGGATGAATCGAAAAGTCTAAAAACATAGTCGTATGTTTGTCTCTGTTGATTAACAAGCCGTTGATCAAACTGACTGATACTCGCAGCAGACATTAACTTAGGATGTAAAAATATGTGTGCAAATCCTCAAAGTAATCGGATAAATACCAACGCAGCAGAGCTTCATACATTTTACCTATTTGAAGCGATTTCCTTGGTGAAAACCAAGAAAAACCGGGGGGTGATCTATCGTGCCCCCGGAAAAAACCAAAACAGAGACCAGTCTGTTTTTTTTAATTTTGGGGTAGACCCTTTAAACTGACAAAGTTTCACTGAAATCGGTGAGATGGCATGTAGCACGACTGCCCGGTGCTCTCGTGGACACGCTCTTAAGTCACTATCTAGCTGTTTTAAAAAGAAGGATCAGGACTTACCTAACTCTTAGTGTTTTTGTGGGAGTTGTTGATCCCAATTTAAGTGTTCTTAGAAGTTTCCGTTGTCTCTAAAGCTAAATAAATCTAACTGAAACCTAATAGGGCCTGTTTATTCTTTTCCGTTTAGTTTTTTTGTATTGTTTTGTTTTGTCTTCTTTTTTTCTTCTGGTCTGTAATGATTTCAATGGTTTCAGGTTCTTTTCTCAGAATTGAGCTACAGTAATAGTATGCTTCTTTGTGTCGTTGCCTACAGGAGCCACTGCTTGTGTTGAACTGAAGAGATTTGAAGAAGCAATCACTTGGTGTGATAAGGGACTAGCTGTATCCTTTGAAGGAATATTTCATTTTTAACCGTGGGTATAATGGAAAAAAGTTTCCATAATTTGATGTTTCAAGGGAGAAAATACAAAGAAGGGTATTAATTATGATGGGAACTTGTCAGCTCATATACTTTAAGTGTGTGTGATTAAAAACATAGGAGAAGTTTTTACCTCATGACTTATTAATGAAATTACTCCTTTTAGCCAATTTGAGTTAGTTATACTATCCATGCCAATAACTGGTACATTAGTTTGAATAACCCTTTAATTTCCTAGACCAAATTTGCAATTATCCTTACTGTCAACCATACAATTCTTGTAATGTTAGTACAGAGAATTCAGTATTGCATCAACTAACTATTTTTAAATTGATATTTTTTTTTTTTACTCTCAACACTTATCTGATTGATATTGTATTGCTATTGTAAGGAGAAAATCTCTTTTGGTCACTCACGGTAGTTAAAGGGTTAGAAGACTAATATTCATCCAGTATATACATAGTACTTGGGTAGATGATCTCTCTAAAACAAGCCAGAACAAAAGGCTCGGTAATGTTAACATATCTTATGCAGATTTTCTTGCCTTCGACCTTTTTCCACTACTTAGAGACTCAGAAACTTTCGTTGTGCTTTCCTATGGACAAATAAAAATTTTAAAGACATGTATTTGTGTTATAGACTCATTTCTTCCACTGCTATAAAACATTTGTCTGATGTTAAAGCTATATTAATTTAAAAATTGAGCAAGTGCTGCTCAGTTTTTGGAAACTAGGGATTAAATCTAGATATTTCGCGTTAAATTTTAAGGCTTCACACAGAAAAAGCATTTTTTGAAGTGTAGATTTACTTCATAACTGACTTTAAGACTGAATGTTGATAAATCATCTACCTTTCATGCAAAGCCCTCCTAATGGGCCATTTTATAGTTGTGCACTTAGTTGCCAAGCCTTTGATTTGGAGTGAGGCTGAAGGTGACCTTGCTGTGATAGAGACCAGTATCTAGAAACGATAATAACAAAGTAGTTTGTATTTAAAAAGCAGCAATGTTTTTTTATCATAACAAGGTCACCCTTAATCATGGGTTTTGTTCAAAGGTTTGGGAACCAAGCACGCAAATGTTAAAATGGACTAGTATATATCAATATGATCAGAAACATAATCTTTTTTGTTTTTTCCACATTTTTAACCCTTAACATAAAAAAGATTGACAAAAACAAAAGGATCTTGTTGTCATTAAGACTTCAGTCTGTCAGTGAAGTGGGAGATAAGTCCATGGAGGAAAAAGATCCTATTAGTGATGACCACGGTAGTGCAAGTTCAGGTGATGTCAAGAAAGTCGTAGATCTCTATAATCAGGGAGAAGAAGCCATAGAGTACCTCAACCTATATCTTAAACAAGCTAAGGAAGTAGGAGACAAGCATGGGGAGGGCAACGCTCATGCCAATCTTGGCAATGCTTATGGCCGTCTGGGTGATTTCAAAAAAGCCATAGAGTACCACAACCTACATCTTAAAATAGCTAAAGAAGTAGGAGACAAGCATGGGGAGGGTGGTGCTTGTGGCAATCTTGGCAATGCTTATCACCGTCTGGGTGATTTCAAAAAAGCCATAGAGTACCACAACCTACATCTTAAAATAGTTAAAGAAGTAGGAGACAAGCATGGGGAGGGTATTGCTTGTGGCAATCTTGGCAATGATTATGGCAGTCTGGGTGATTTCAAAAAAGCCATAGAGTACCACAACCTACATCTTAAAATCGCTAAAGAAGTAGGAGACAAGCATGGGGAGGGTAACGCTTATGGCAATCTTGGCAATGCTTATCACCGTCTGGGTGATTTCAAAAAAGCCATAGAGTACCACAACCTACATCTTAAAATCGCTAAAGAAGTGGGAGACAAGCATGGGGAGGATAACGCTTATGGCAATCTTGGCAATGCTTATGGCCGTCTGGGTGATTTCAAAAAAGCCATAGAGTACCACAACCTACACCTTCAAATAGCTAAAGAAGTAGGGGACAAGCATGGGGAGGGTAATGCTTATGGCAATCTTGGCAATTCTTATGACCGTCTGGGCGATTTCAAAAAAGCCATAGAGTACCACAACCTACATCTTAAAATAGCTAAAGAAGTAGGAGACAAGCATGGGGAGGGTGGTGCTTATGGCAATCTTGGCAATGCTTATGGCCGTCTGGGTGATTTCAAAAAAGCCATAGAGTACCACAACCTAATTCTTAAAATCGCTAAAGAAGTAGGAGACAAGCATGGGGAGGGTAACGCTTATGGCAATCTTGGCAATGCTTATCACCGTCTGGGTGATTTCAGAAAAGCCATAGAGTACCACAACCTACATCTTAAAATAGCTAAAGAAGTAGAAGACAAGCATGGGGAGGGTGTTGCTTATGGCAATCTTGGCAATGCTTATGGCCGTCTGGGTGATTTCAAAAAAGCCATAGAGTACCACAACCTAATTCTTAAAATCGCTAAAGAAGTAGGAGACAAGCATGGGGAGGGTGTTGCTTATGGCAATCTTGGCAATGCTTATGGCCGTCTGGGTAATTTTAAAAAAGCCATAGAGTACCACAGCCTACATCTTAAAATAGCTAAAGAAGTAGGAGACAAGCATGGGGAGGGTGTTGCTTATGGCAATCTTGGCAATGCTTATGGCCGTCTGGGTGATTTTAAAAAAGCCATAGAGTACCACAACCTACATCTTATAATAGCTAAAGAAGTAGGAGACAAATCCTTGGAGGCAATGGCCTACTGTTCATTAGGATTGGTTTTTGAGTTGCAAGGTGGACTGCCAAAAGCAGTTGAACATTACCAAGCTAGCATAAACTTATTCAATTCCTTGAGAGTACTTCTAATATCTAAAGATGAGTGGAAAGTTAATTTTCGAAATCAGCATCAAGTGGCGTATACGGGTTTGTGGAGAGTTCTCGTAGAACAAGGTAAAGTAGATGAAGCCTTATTTGTTGCTGAGAAAGGACGAGCTCAAGCTCTGACCGACCTCATGGTATCCAGTTTTTGTGGTGGAACAAGTCACCACAAGGGAGAAGATGAAGATTACGCAGTTTTTAAAAACGTTCTATCAAACACTGTCTTTCAGGCAGTGGACAAAGCTAACGTCAATCTTTGGGTTGTGTCCGAAGGAAAACAAGTTCAGTTAAGACAAAGTAAACTGAAAAGTTTTGTTTCAGAGAATAGTGGATCTAGCCTGTCCTTTGAGTCGTTCATGCTCGGTGTCTATACACAACTTGGTGTTCGTTCTAATGTGAGATGCGAGAATCGATCTTTAGATGCTTTGAGGGAGGGCCGTTCAAAAGTGGATGAGAAAACCAAAGAAGCCAAGCCTCAACCTCACATCCAACAAGACGGATGCTTGAGCACTTTGTATGATATCGTTATGAAGCCGGTGGCTGACTTGATTGAAGGGGATGAGCTACTCATTATTCCTGATGGACCCCTGTGGATCGCTCCTTACGCTGCATTGAAGGATGGTAATTCTAAATACCTGTGTGAATCATTCACAATCCGAGTCGCTCCATCGTTAGCAAGTCTTAGACTCATTGCCGATTGCCCAGATGATTATCACAAAAGCAGTGGTGCGTTACTTGTAGGAGATCCGTGGGTATCCGAGGTTACTAACAGCGAGGGAAAGAAAGTCTTCGAGCAGCTTCAGTATGCTAAAAAAGAAGTAGAAATGATCGGAAAAATTCTGAATATCACGCCAATCACTGGCAGACAGGCCACGAAACGTGAGGTGTTGAAAAGACTCAGTTCCGTTTCCCTAGTTCACTTTGCGGCACACGGATGTATGGAAACTGGCGAAATTGCTCTTACACCTGACCCAGACCGAATATCTACTGTGCCAACGGAGGAGGATTACATTTTAACAATTGGAGATGTGTTGAATGCTCAACTTCGGGCCAAACTTGTTGTGCTTAGTTGCTGCCACAGCGGCCGGGGCGAGATCAAGGCTGAAGGTGTGGTTGGCATTGCGCGCGCTTTTATGGGGGCTGGTGCTCGGTCTATTTTGGTGTCCCTGTGGGCGATTGATGACGAGGCTACTCTTGAGTTCATGAAATACTTTTATCAACAACTTGCAGAAGGTAAACCAGCAAGCGAGTCACTGAACCTGGCCATGAAAAGCCTCAGAGAATCAGACAAGTTCTGCGACATCAAACACTGGGCGCCCTTTTTGCTGATTGGAGATGACGTCACTCTTGACTTCATGGCAAAGGAAAGAGAAAATTTGAATATGAAATCACATAAATGAAAACTTTTTACTTCATCTCAAAATGAGTGACGCAGGAACTTGGAAGGTTTAAATGCTTCTCTATTTTGGCGCTTTTTGGCTATTTTTCATTACTTTTCACTTTTTTGTTAAATGGAACTCGAGATGCGTTACTTTACTTTGGTGAAAAAAGAAAACAGACTATTTCAGTATATTTTGTTCAGTGGAATTGCTATTTTTTTACCTTTCAAAATTTAGATGCTTGCGAAGAGAACAAGATGCAACAAGGCTTCTGTTGTTAATGCCTGAAGTTGTTGAAGGCGACTACGAGGTCTTCGTTTCGCCAAAATGACACTCAGATCTATTCCTTTATTGCAATCAGTTATGTGTAAAATAATTTAAAGGTTTTTTTCTTGTACACAACCAGGAGCTTGTCCACCGGGTTTTAATTACGTTGATACTCTAAGCTTTTGATAAGCAAAGAAACAGTTTGTCATTTGCAAAAGGTGGTGAAATTTTAATTTCAAAAATGTGATTTGCAAAATTCGCAGCCATATGTGAATTGATCTCAATAGTTTTTCTACGTCATAAATTATTTTGTTGCAATTTGCAATTATCTTTACAAAAAAGTTGATTATCATTTTCAACTTTTTTTCAATCCATTTTAATGCAATCTAATTCCATCAGTGCCAAGATTGCCATTCTAAGCTTAATTTGAAGAAGTAATCACCAGAGATGATGTTGTTGAATTTACTAACCATATGTTAGAGACATTAGACCTACTCTCAGGCCAGCCTCTAGTCCCGTGGGCCCGGCCTACAATTGTTTTCCGCCCGCTTGACTTTTCTAATATGACTCTTACAAATGTTGAAACAATAATTCAAATTTCTCAGGAAAAAGGCGTACAACAAGTCAAAGAGCTGGCTACAACGGCCTGCTTTCAATCAAACGAGTTTGATCAATTTTAGTCCGTTTTATCAAACATTCATCAATTTGTTTTAGAGAACGACAACAGAGACAAATTGTCCATGTAATCTAAACAAGGAAATAGCGAAGCAGTGTTTACTTTAACTGAAGTTTCCATTGCTGTGACTTTTAATGTAGGTGACATGGAATTTTTTGCTTTCATTAGGAAAATATTTACGCCAGTAAATTAGGGAAACACTTGAAGTAAGCCATGTAGTCCTCAATTGGAATTATTTTGGTGAAAATGTTCATGAATAAATGTAAATCTAGGCCGTAGTTAAAAAGGTTCAGGGCTTCAGGATAAAACTTGCATTTTTTTGAAAATTTCCTGTTCAAATTTTTTTCATGGCTTTAAATTTAGCTTAGTATAATTTGGAGATGTCTGATGATATCTTTCTTAGATTTAAGAATTTATACTTAGGTATTCAGAGAACGCTTTGTAATTAGAACCCGTTATGTGGTCAAAAGGTTAAGGTATACTGTATCACAGCTGTTTTAAAAGAAAGTTTTTGTAAAATTAATGTTAATTTTTGACAGATTTTCATAACTACCATTGGTATATGCTGGTATAAAATGTAATAGTTAACCTTGCACATGGTTGAATATGATGTAACGTAGGAGTTTAAAAACAAGCTGGGTTAATTTCGACTAAACATTCTTTTTATAATGTCAGTGCATTTAGTGTGAATTGTTTTGATGCTATTTGTATTTAAAGTTGAAGCTATTTGTTCATTTACCTTAGTTTTTATTCATTAACTCATTAACTCCCAAGTTGTGAAGAAAAATTCTCCCAACTGATAAGAATGTGTTTCTTTGTTGCTTCATTCTGAGAATTCGATGAAACATAACGTTTCTAGTGAAAATAATCCGCTAGTTTAGATTTTCTCTAATTCTTATTGACACCATGTTCGTCGGTGCATTAATTTTGTGAGGAGAATTTAAGTTATGATCAATCTTGGGAATAAATGGGTTCATTTTAGTGTCTCCGTTTAGCGCCACTTTACTTAATGCCTTGAACAATTTAATGCAGTTTGTATTGTACTTTTGTTTACTTTTTTGTGTAAGAGAAATAGAGTGTATAAAATACAAAAACTGCGTTTGTTTTCATTGTCTGTCTCCATATTCTAAGGATTCGCGTGAGATGCAGGGAGTACAGATCCTACGGGGACTTCAATGCTTGTTTTGACCCGCGCGCGCCAAGTTGGTAATCTTTGCAGCTGACAGTGTACTGACATTCCATGTTTCAAGCCCCCACCCACTTAACAAACGCTCGTCGACTCTTCGATTGTGTCTCTTTCACTGTCTACCGTTCTCCATATTGTCACACGATTTTGAATGCCGACGGACGTGTTCATACTGTTACCTGTGTGTGCCCTTTTTTTTTTTACATCTTTTTTACACATTTGTGCATCTCTTTTCTCCTTCCTTTGTTCCTTCCCTTTTTTCATCGTACTTTTCCTTTATTCCCATTTTTACGCGCACTTCTTTCATCGCCCTCAACTTTATTCTTCTACGCGCTTCATTAGACGCGACTATCTCCTTGTCTGTTTCAGTTTTCATTCGTCTCAATCCTCGCGAAACGTCAGGTCTCTTACAACTTATATACCTCCTTACTTCCCCAGAGTAGTTGTTATTATGCTTATTTTGTTCACTTTAGGATGGTGTCCTCTTAGCATCATGTCTAGTAAAATTTTAGTTTTCCTTTCGACTCATTCCCAGTCTGCAGGGTCTCAATTTTAAGTCTCACTTGCCAGTGTTTGCTCTCCTTGGTCCTCTCATCACAGTAGCAGCTATAAAACGAAAGAGCTCCCTCCAAGTCTCTGCGACATAATCGATGCATTTTGTTGGAATCGAGTCCTTCAATGTCCAAATTAAGGCTTCTTCTATCATCTGATTGGGAATGGATCAAACTCTCGCCCAGAGTCCACCTACATCGCGAATCCAAGATGGTAGCAGGCCAATCCACAGACTTCTCCGAGTCGGTAGCCGTCATCTTGGATGTAGACGCAGAGAGGACCTTGAAAAAGTGTTTTGACAAGACAATAATCAATAAAGGTTAAGTTATTGTAATGCTTCCTAAGGGGTAGTGATAACAGCCCGAGAGATTCATTAGGAGCAAACACGTTCCGTCGATTATCGGACTCCATGTCTCCTTACGTTGTAGAACAAATTCCTCGAATACGCACGCCTATATGCCCCTCTCCTCCTCCCCTAAATAGCACTATACATCACTTTATTGCTACTTTTAAAATTATACAGCACAATACAACATTATACCCCTGAGTAGCACTGTAAATCCGTAAAATGAAGTAACTGTGCAGCGCATCACAACAATATGAACCCCTAAATAGTACTATGCTTTCCTCTACTGAATTTTTTTCAACATACAGCGCTCTATAAACTATTGCTCCAATTTGGCACGAAAATAATTGTGGATATTTGTCCGCGGACATTATCTATTCCAATACGCCAAAACTGTGAGCTTCGAGGTAGCCGTAAGGTTTGCGAATAATATCGGGGAATATCGCTTGCGTGATATTCTCGGATATCACCCAGTAGTAGTTGGGGGATATTTAGTCACTTGCTGCGTTTACACCAATTGCGCGCGAGCAAAAATATTTGATGGATCATAAAAAGCAACAAGTACCCCTAGATAGCACTATACTTCCCTCTTCCACAATTTACATCACAATAGAGCGCTATAAAACAACATGTACCCTTAAATAGTACTATACTTCTCTCGTCTGCAGTTTACATCACTATACAGCGCTATACAACAATATGTACCCATAGATACCACTATACTTCACTCTTCTGCACTCTACATCACGATACAGCGCTATACAACAATATCTATCCCTGATAGCATTATACCTCTCGCTACTGCAGTTGACATTACTATACAGCTCTATACAACAATATTTACCCCTAAGTAACCTTGATCAGCATAACAGAATACATACATCGAAATTTTCTATGCTTTGTGTCTTTCTCCAAGGTTCATTAAATACTCGATGAAAACCTTTGCGTCGTTCAAAGAAAACGCAGCATTTTCCAGCGCAGTCGTGACTCGTTTGACGTGAAGACACAGAGATGGCGAGTTGATTAAGTCTTTAAATTTCAAACTCTTAAAGGCGGGAAATATTTCTGAAACAAAATCTTTCACGAACATCACTATTAATTCTGAATAATGTAAATTCGATTCACGTTTACTTTAGATGATAAATTTTACTCCCATTTTGCCAATCATACAAAGAAATCAATACACTAAGCAATGCCTTCAACAAAACACAGTTACACAGTTGTAAATCTCCATCCTCATCCTCAGTAGAACTATGCTATCACAAAGGTGGAATAATCGCGGAAGAATAACCGCGCTTAAGACCTTCCTATATACCAAGGAATTCATGCCACTGGATTGGACATGTGCCAGTAACCTACTTTCACATTTAACGTGACGTTTAGCTAAGATCAGCAAACTGTTTCTTTTTTTCTGATAGCAGGAAAGATAGCAGGAAAGATAGGAAATAAGATAAAGCAAATAATTGTTACCGAATCGCAGTAAGTTTCTCTTCCACCGACTCCCAAGGGTTGCGATCTTCACTGAATTCAAGAAGATCTACAAACAAACCAAGATCAAATTTAAGAACATAAAGAACCTTACAGCTATTAAGGCATGAGAAAGATTACTCCTTTTCTATTATAACTGAGTATCAACTGAGCCGAAGGTCTTCTTCATCTCCCTTCGTTCAGAGAAGTACAAATAGGATACAAGACTTAAAAAAAACTGTTTTTCCCGATTGCTACGCATAGAAATTATCGTGAAAGTAGTCCTGGTTAAATACTTCACGCAGACCTTGGGCGAGTTTCATTTCACTGATCCAGTCTCCCTCTTTGTAATACTTCACGCGCAGATTCTGCATAAAGAAAAGATGTAAAAGTAATTAAGTCTATGAGGCCACCCCTCAATTGCAGAAGAATACAACTATACCTAAGCCCCCTCCTACCCTAACGGTACGTTCTTCTCCTCACGCTCACAGTCACGTATGGCGCTAATGCACGCTGCCACTTAGCGTCAATCGCGAACACCGGTGCACGCTTAATGATAAAATGCTACAATTCCATTAGCGAAGAATGTTCATTTACCAGAAAAGGAAATCTCTCCATGCGTGTGAGTTGTAGAATACGATCCACATCATATTCCAGACGGGCGACTTTCTTGGCCTGTGTGTAGGTCGTACTCATTTGTGCAATGAGAATGTTGAGTAGAATCACTATCACGATCCCCATGTAGGCCATCATTAGCAGAATGGAGAGCCAGCTACAAGGAATAAATCAAATGCTCTTACGTGGTTAGTTTCACCTATTATCTTAGTGGAAATAAACTCATCTTAAGGTAAAGAGATCTGAACAAGTAAACGGAGTAAAAACATATTCGACCTTTTAGAGAGAAATCAACTCACTTGAAATTTGAATAATCGTAAGCAATTGGTCTTTGTTCAGAGAGCGCGCGAAAGCCACTCAATAACACATCTCCGAAGTCACTAATGTAAAAAAAATGGATTTAGCATGGACTGTAACACAGACTGATCTGCAACACATTAACAGAAATTTCATATCACTTCAGGTGTTATCATATACATTTCATCCAACTAAAATTCGCAGATAGTGCAGAGTAAACATCAGCCAACCAAATAATTCAACACATTTATTCAGTAGCATTTAAGCAAGCAAGATTAAGACATACCTAAACTGTTGGTTTTCATCGGAGTAACAGAGCGATAAAGACAGAGCACCACAGAAGGAGAAAAAGATAACAGTAAAAACCGCCATGGATCTTGTCACATCGTGCAAAATGATCTTAGCCAAGGTTTTTGCGTATAATCCGGTTGTCCTGAAAAAAAAATATACACGGTTCTATTACATTAAGGACACAAGTTATGTGATACATAATGATGTTCGAATTATACTAAATAAGAATATAACAGTTTTCAACAGTCTTCTAATAAAATTTCAGGGGGGGTCGACACGTTACCATGCGTCGGCTCCATGTAAAGCATTTGGCTTTTTTAACAAAATTTCCCATCTTCTTTATTCTTTTAATTCCATTACTCCCGTCTGTCTCCTCTCCTTGGACGCTTTTTTTAATTTTTCTATTCTGTACCTTTTTTTCGTTGAGACGTTTTAAAAATTTCCAAATTTCCATCATGAAGGTGCCAAGACGGTGGGGTTGCACTAATTACAAATTAGGCTTGTTAACCAAAATCCAAACCTAAGCCAACCGTGTGAGTAAGTTTCACAGATATGATTTTCTTGTTCTAATTTGCTGACATTCTCTCAAACCTATCAAACGTAGCTTATGATGCAGTTTACCTTGTCAAGCAAGAAAACTTAAAGATCCTCAGGAAGTTGAACAAGAAAGCTAAAGATGCCACAAGCCACTGAGCTTTACTTTGTGTGTACCGTGAGGGTATAATACACAGGATCAGCAACAGGCCTGACCAGTCAAACAGGGTCATCCATTCTGTGAAGTACGACTTCCCCTCTCTAAGGGAAATCAGACAGATTCAAGGTTTGCAAAGAACACTCTTCATTTAATTAATTCATTCTTATGTTTTTAACCTTACCATGACCTTACCATGACCTAACAATTCCATCACCTCTACTCAATCTGACAAAGGGCAAACGCTCAAACTTGGTTGTGTAGTAATTAATTCCACCTCTAAACTACTAACAAGTCTTCCCTAATCTATATTAACCTACATGAACACTTGCTAATGGTAAAATGTCCTGAGCTTTGGCAGAAAATGGTGTTCTAACCTGATTTTACACTCACTAGAATTGCATACTTACAATCTCATTTGATTAATTTCTTCACATATGTAAAAGACCACCATAATAAGGGTGAAAATCTCAAAAACCACGCAGTGAATCTGCTTCACCCTCATATTGAGTGGGGTCTACTGTTGTGGAAGCACTCAGCAGAGAATATGACAAACACAGCAAGAAGATCACATAAATGCTGCTTGAAGGCTGTGAAATAAATTGCAACCTTATTAGTAAGTATAAATAAATTTTACATTACAAATATACATTATAATGCTTTCATTTGTGCTTCATTTCAGCATTTTATAGTAACAGATCTAAAGGCCATATCCAGGCATCTAAAAAATCTATTGTTTGGCACATGGATTGGAATACTCCAGAAATTCTTACTCTAACCTCCACCGTAAACCCTTCTTTTGCTCCAATACATTCCTAGCAGCTTGGACACAATCATTTCTATTTCTTTTTTTTTTCAATTGAATGATGGAACAATCTTAGGTAACCCAATTTTTTTCCTCTGGGTTTACATGCACCTGAGAAAGAAGTGTCCATAACTTTTCCATTTTGCTTTAACCAACATTCTGACCACAGGATGTTGAAGAGCCTCCTGGAAAATCATGAAACCAAAGAGGAAATGTCTAAGCAAGAATATAAGTTTTCTACAACTAGAACAGCAAAAAATTGTGTTGCCTGTACCAAATCAAAACATTTAAACTAGTTGAGCTGGTAAACATAAGTAAAAGCAAGTATCTCAGAAAATGAGCCAAAAAATCTGAGAGTTTTGCTCCAACCCCTTAAAATATCAAGCTAGAGAATCAGATATTTTGGATAACTCCTGCATGTGTTTCTCCAAACACAGGATAACCACACACAGAATAATTACTTTTTTTAAACACCTCAACCTTACCATATTCCTGTTCTTTGCAATGACATGCAAACAAGAATTGTCTCTCCAGTTGAAATATTTGTTTTCTGTCTGTCCATGTCCTCCTAGCATCAAGACTTTTGGGGGCCGTCCTCCCTCATCACCATCCAAAATATGATAATAAAAATGGTAGTCCAAAGGATCATCTGTGATTGTGCGCCAGGAACCCTCTACTACCTCCTTTTCTTTTTCATTTTCATAGCTATCCTTGCGTTTTGGAAGGTGTGGCCAATGAGGATTGATCATCTGGTCTAGTACTGCTACTACTGTTTTCTGTGGAAATCATACACATGCAGATGTCAGCAATAAATTTCCTTATGCAAGTTTACATTAGATGTACAATAAAACATGATGTGATACATTGTGACATTCTTGGACAATCTGCATGGCTAAAAGCATAAGCTAGAGGCATTTAAGATTACAAACTAACAGCATAAGATCTGTTTACACGTGTTGAAATAATTTGTTCAATATCTTGGTGAAAACAAATCAGTGATGCATCTTACATTTGAAAAACAAAAACTGAAAACACTCACCTTCATTTTAGGATTACCAATAATGGACTTGAAATTGAAGAAAGATGGCTGAGGATTTGTCACATCAGACGGTCTCAAAAAAAATATTTGATGGACTCTGATGGCAGCAAAGATAACATATTCATAAATGGAAATTTCACGTCATATGAGCCAAAGAAAACCCGTTATTCCAATTTTCACCATCTAAAATAATTTAGATCTCCTCAAGGAAAACTGGTTTAAAAAATAAAACCACAAAAAACAAAACTACAAAAAACAAAACTACAAAACTACTAAAGACGTGACCCAAAGCTTCCTTTGAGGGATTGAAATAAAAGAGGCTTTTATATTGGACTTTTCAAGGTGAGCAACTAAGCAGGGAGAGCTGGGTGCTTAAAAGCATCAACCTTTTTAGTGAGCATTGTACCTTTCGTGCCACATTATTCTGATCAAGTAGGCAGCTACCTCATCTTTTTCTGCTACTAAAGCCAACTCAACAGGTAACATAGACCTTTTATCCTTTGCATACTCTGTCTTCAAGGTTAGTAACACTGGACATTTATTTACAAGTGTTTTGCTGACATTTAAAAATCCAAGTTCTGCAGCATAATGTAGTAATGTTTTTCTTGTTTTGTCTTCCTCATCTCTGAATGTCTGGTATTTATTGCAAGAGTTAATTTCACTTTGCAATATTATCTCCAAAAGCTGATTTATCTGCAAGAAGACATGTCCACATTATACTATGTAATTCAACTACACTGGTGATATATACTTCTTGACTGAGTGGGAGGGCCAGGCAGGAAACCTTTAGCTTAAGGTCATGGTGCATGGACGGAGTGCAACAAACAGGTCCCTGTCTCATGTCTGAGAACTAAATATTTTCCCATTTGGCCAATGTTAATCTAGCTTGCTCACTTAAAAAAAAAAATTATCATAAGACCTTTGCTCTTTCTTTTCTTTCCTTCTTTATCTAGTTTGTAGCTCACTTGGATCATACTTATTTTCAGGCCTGCTCAGCTGTCACATTAGGCCTTTAACCTGGGATTTCTACTAAATGTTTTACAATAAAAGTGTGCGCAGCCATTCATGTCAAATAATGCAACTTATCATCTCCTTTTTAGGATTGAAAGTCTATTGGAAACTTTTTTCCCCTCATTATTCACTTGCTGTATTGACCTTTAACCACCCATGCAAAAAGTTGCTTTCTGATATTTATCTATGCACAGTAAGCCTAATTTTCTCAGATTTCACTGTCATTTTGTTCCCCGGCAGTAGCATTCCATGCACACTGTTAATAATTAACATTTGATCCAATCATGATTTACATATACCTTCTGTTCAAGGCCTGGAAGTTTTTCAGGATTATCTATGTACTGCTTAGATGCTGGCCACTGTTTTAAAATCAAAAGGGCTGGATCCTCATCATCCAGTTCCCCGTTATCTTTGTACTTCTGGATCAGTCTTTCAACAGTAACTTCATCCATAGCTCTACTCCATGAAAGTCCATTGCTCTGCTTTGAACGAACCTGCAAGAGTACATGCTGTTAAAAATGCTCAAGGGCAGCTTCGTGTTGTATGTCATACATCATGCCCTGAATAGCTCTGTACCGTGAGTTCTAGAATGATGAAATATATTTTAAGGCTTCCTTGAGAGAGACATAACGAATTAGGAAGCACTTATTTTGGATATACGTAGCTTGATGATTAAAATTTCCTTTTTGCACAAAATTCAGTTTTAACTCGTTAAACCTTACGCTGAAGATTAATACTGTTTACGATTGCCGCAAGATTCAACTCGTTATCGAGACCTGTTAGAATATATGTTTTTAACATTCAATCATGCCTACTTTAATCCAGAATTCTCTATCATAATCATTTTCCAAGACATCTTCATGATTATCAACTTCAGGCTGAGCTTCTTGTTTGTTGTTGTTTTCCACTCCGTTGCGTTCCAACAATTCTTGCCCTTCTCTTTTCATTTCTGAATTACATATGACCAGCTTCATCCAAAACATATGCATTGACAACGTACAACTTTGAATTCCTCCTTCATACAGTTTTTTCTATCCCTTGCAATCTCCTCGTTCAAAGGCAAATGGGATAATTTTGTTCCCTGAATCCTCTCCGCTCTGGCCGGTAAAAAAGTTGCCTAATCGACTGGGTTGAGTGTCCTGCAGTCCTGTTGACCAGCGTCAAGGGTGATTCGTGGAAAGGGAAATTAATCAATCTTGTTCCCCGGGATTTCTTGGTAAGTTTTCCGAGAGCCCCGTGGTATCCAACAGGTCCTGTGACGCAAAATCTTTACACCTTTATTCAGACATATAGCAGCCAAATTAAAATTTACGAAGACACAAATTAGAAACAAATCACTGAAGCCAAAGGATAAAAAATAATGGATATTAAAAACACAGGCAATGGGGTTAAGATTGGTCAAACTGAAAGATGTCTCAATTTTTTTAACCAGCTTTTTCGATGAATTTTCTTATTAATGGCTGAGCGCACTGATATCCGTAGCATCAAAATTGCCAGTTCAACCCTGAATAATCATTCCAAACATTGAAATGGTCGATAGCACTTCATGAGAAGTTTCCGTGTTGACTTTCTCAATAACTATTCTTCATCAGTTTCTCTAATTGTGAAGGCGTCATTAAACAACTTGTTTCCATTCAAATGCCGCCATCTTTCATTATCTTCTACCGATCAATGCAAAGAAAGCGCCTCGAACTTCACAATAAATAGTCGGTGAGAGTGATCACAAAATGAAAGAATGTATGAACTCAAATTTTCTTTTCAATCGTTGCCAATAATTTTCTCTTTTCGGTGTCGATTAAACACAGCCAATATTAAACACCGCATACATGGCATTTCTATGTGCGCCTGCTGAATTGTTTCGGAGGTGATTTATTCTGTGGGTTTGAAAGAAGTCGATTTTAAACACCTCAAAGGAAAGCTGCTCAAGATTACCTCGCACTTGCTTACTTTGAAAAGGGACATTCAGACCCGAGGCTATACTTCTCAAGATACTTTTTACAAGCAGTCGATGTTTTCACACATTTGCCATCGGTATAAATTACACTCATGAAGGCTGCCCCACCTAGAGTTTCTCGTATCATATTTTGATGATATCTTTCCGTGGAAAAAGTTCCGTCAAAGAACATCGGTGGACGGTAATTTTTCGGCTTATATATCCACCAACCATCCAAAATGAAATACGTCATGTTCCTATACACTGAAAGCGATAAAATCAAAGCTAGGAAACTAAGGGATTATTTACAAGGTAGGCTACGAAACATAGCAGATTTAAGAAGTATTGGTGAAATTTCAGCAGAGAAACGAGATTTCAGGAATGAACTTCGCTGCAACGGGGACTGCGTCGTTTTGGTCGGATCACGACATGCCTTTTCCCTGATCAAAGGTAAACAACAAGAGGCTGACGACGACTTCCTTACTTTTGACGGAAAGGTAATACATGAAGAGTTCTCGGGAAACAGAGAATTTATTGACAAACTGATAATTGTATACTTGGCGACGGAAAGAGCCAATGATGACTGGATCCCAGATGGTCTTGATGAAAAGAGGATCTTCAATCTGCAGGGCGTAAAAATTGTGGAAAGTCCTTTGCTGTATCAGCTCGAGTATTCCATAAGGAAAATATTGCTTGGAGATTCCTTTATGATGTAGAGAACACAACCTTTCATAAATTACGTGAAACTGAAGCTGAAAGACATTTAGTAAGGACTTCGATTTGATAAGTTTTTGTGCTGTTAAGCAGTATTTGCTGCAGTCCTTTACATTATAAATTATACATTTAACGGTGAGACGGTGTGTATCAGAGACAATTAAGGTCGAAACAAGTATAATCAGAAAATTCGAAAATTGATCTTTTCGACATTTGTTCAGAATGTAATCAAGTATAAATTCTAAGAGATGAGCAATCTGTCTTACGGATGGAACGAAATTCCACGGAAACTACAGGAAAAAGACGGATTAAAGTTAGATTTTTGAGATTAATATCAATGTGAGAAAATAAGACAGTAGTTAGATAAATCAGTAAGCACCTCGGACTACGCTACATTTGTGCAATCAATTCACTATTGAAAAGTACAGCTTGATTTACAAAGTTGCGTGAAACTATAGTGTCGCCATCATGAACATACGAAAACAAACAAAAAAAAGAGTGTTAATTGAGAAGACGAGGGTTGGTCGTAAAATATTTCCCTGGGAGAGCTTGATGAGACCTTTACATTGAGGGTCTCGTTGGGGTGATGGCTTTAAGGCTAACGGTTAAAACTTTAGTCACTTTGCGGCTAACGGTTAATATCTTTCCGCTATTGTCACCAAAATATTTTTTTTTACGGTAAACCTTTTTTAAAGCTAACAGTTAAAATTTGCCAGTTTTTACCCCTTACTACCACATTTTTTTGGCCGTTTTACGCCTAATGGTTAACCCGACTGAGACCCTTTACCAAGCTCTGGGTCTGGGTCTCGTGAGAATTTGAAACGCACGCATGGTTGTACACACACAAAACTTTAAAAGCTAAGAGTGGCTACTGCTTGTGACATCCACATGGAAGCAATCCAAGATAACTTGGGAAGCGGACTTTGGTATTTTCTAATCCTTGTATCATACCAACTTGCATTTATTAGTCGTTTCTTGCATTTTTCCTCTTAAATCGAGTTGTTTTAGTCGGCTCCGTTGTTTCCTCGCGTGGTTACGCTATCTCTTCATGTAAATCAACTATCTGTTGCACCCGTTTTCACTATTTTTTTTCTCTTATTTTCGTCCGCACTGTTTGTTCTCACTGTTTGTTTTTAACATGACAGCCCTGATTGCAGCTTTGTAAGTAATTTGACGAAATTCTCATAACGACCACCACTCCATCTTTTCCCTTTACAGACACTTGTCGCATAAAAACTAGCACTGATTACAATGGCCGAATGACTGTGTCACAGAATCATGCACACAGGCACTCGTTATAATCTTACCCAGGCCTCATCTCACCATCTTTCCCATCATATCCCCGGAAAAAGAAACATGGTTGGGAAACTGAAGGGAAATATGTCTACTTGAATGTCAAAAAGTATAAAGTAGTCTCGGTTTGTTACTTTTGCTATATGATAGTAAAACAAACGTCGCGCTTTCCTCTCAACCAACGTAATCAAATTCTGAACTGAAACCAATCGTGACTCAAGCACTCACGTTTTCCTGTCGTGACGTGTCCTTCCCAATAGTTCTTTAAAATGTCACGCAACACTTCACCCAAAAGAGGCTTAATGAAAATACGTTACTTGACACCTCAAAGGACGGCCGCGAAGTAGATAGATGTAGCCACTCTAATAGCGGAGCTCGCAGAGCGTAGCCCCATAATTATACAAAATGGTAGTGGCAACACATCAAGCCGAAAAAATGTGGACTTATGACCGTACGGGCATCCGTGCAAGGTGCTACTTTTAACATGCGTGATCAGCTGTACCGCGGGCACGCCAACGCCACGGCTTCGTCTGGTAGTCCAGTGGTCAGTGCACTGGGCTCCGAGTTAGATGACCCGCGTTCTAGTCCTGGCCGGGGCAAAGCGTTGTGCCCTTGAGACGTGCAGGAAAAAAAATTCGAGCTCCGCTTTTAGGCTTGGCTAAGTCTATATATTAGCAGTTAGTTTGTTTTGCCCGAGTTCTTTTGATTATTAATGCTATTTTCCTTTGTTCTCAATGTTACTATGGCAATTTATCTGTTGGGTCTACGACTCTCGTTCGAATTGCGCTCTACATAGCGAGAAAGAGAAGCATTCGAGGAATTTTCATGACCTGATCGCGTTAAGAGCTGTTTCCCGTAGTAGGTCAACCTGCTATCTTCCTGGTTGATTTTATTTAAATTCTATTAAATGTATGCCACACTCTTGAATAAAAGTACACGTGGTAAAACGATAAGTAAAAGAACTCACTGAACGAAACATATCGTAGTTGACCCTCGCATTTCGTAAATATTTATGTGGAAGAAGCACTGATTATATAAAACAAAGAAAAACAAACACTTTCGATGAAATTACTTACTCAAAGGTGACCTTCATTTTTCGTACACATGTAATGTTAATCACACTGTCAAGAGTTGTCGGTTACAGAATGAAGTTTTTTTAAACAGTTTTACGAAACCTCGGTGGCGTTTTCCTTTTGTTGCTTACTTAGCCTTTATTTACCACCAATCCATTTGCTCAATCGCATTTTACACTGCGCTAGGCTTTTAGATCTGATTGGCTCAGCGGTCGTTTGGCGTCAAAATTGTCGTATGAACATTGCGAATTAAATGAATAAAGAAATCGGCGCATTAAAAGAGACTGGGGAAACATTCCCACTACAGTCATGTGGGCATACAAGCTCTATCCATCCGCTTCCAGGCCGCATCTGTTTCACCACCTTCCTCATCATATCCCTGTTCAAAAATTACAACAAAAGATGTGAAGCATGACCGCGGAAACCGAAGAGGATAAACACAGGGAAGTCGGTCTTTTCGAAAGCCAATCTGATGTCAATGAGAGAACAGGTTAATGAAAGAGAGGGAATATGATAAGGTATGATGTTACCTGATCGCACTGAGTTTCTCTTCCACCGACTCCCAAGGACTGCGATCTTCACTAAATTCAAGAGGCTTTAAAAACAGATCCAAGATCACATCTATGAACATTAAGAACCTAAATCTGTTAAGGCATGAGTATGCAAATAATGTCAGTTTTCTGTTTTTAACTGAGTAAAAGCAAAACCTTCTTCAGCTCCTCTTTTCAGAGTTGCAGAATAAGAAACTAGATTTAGAAAAAAAACCTGTTTTCTTAGATTTCTGCAGATAACAATTCAGGTGGAAGAAGTGTCAGTCAAATATTTCACTACAGACCTTGTGCGAGTTTCATCTCGCTAATCCAGCCTCCATCTTCGTAATACCTCACGCGCAAATTCTGCATAAACGAAAGTTGTAAAGATTCATTTAAAACATTCATGGAGAACATTCCTCAATTTCAGAGGAAAGCAAGTATTTATTGGCCTCTCACTCCCTTGCCTGTTCTTACTTATCTTCACACTCCCTGGAAGCACGTATACACGCTGCCTCTTAGCGTTAATCACGCTGGTACACGCTGATTAATGTAATGCTGCAATTTCATTAGCGAAGAATGCTTACTAACCAACAAAGGAAATCTCTCCATGCGTGTGAGCTGTAAAATACGATCCACATCGTATTCCAGACGAGCGACTTTCTTAGCCTGTGTGTAGGTCGTACTCATCTGGGCAATGAGAATGTTGATGAGAATTACAGTCACTGTTCCCATGTAAGACACCATCAACAAGATCGACAGCCAGCTGCAAGAAGAAGAATTAACGAAGTTGGGGGACGAAAGTGATACACAAAGTTACAGAGCCACATAATGTGAAGGAGAAAAACACTTTCCTTTTGAGACTCTTACTTATAGAAGTATCGTAGGGGGAAATGTGTTGAAGAGAATAACGAAGCTCCTTGCCTACTCACTTGAGATTCGTGTAATCTCCTTCAATTGGTAGCTGCTCAGAGAGTGCACGAAAACCGCTCAGCATGACATCTCCAAAGCCTCTAAAGATAAAAGTGAAATATTATTAGCTAAACTCGCACAGTCCCTGAGTTCTCCTTGATGAACAGCTACATTAATTCAGAAAACGTTTTCCTACGTTCAAAGCTTTAACTGCTTTCTTACTGTAAGGTTTCGCTTGAACGATTATCAATACAAGTTAGTAACTTCACACATGGATATTTGAATAAGTTCTTCTACGAATTAACTAGCGGCAAATCGTTAATGGTTGAATTATGGTCAGACATATCATACTCTCAGTTCTATATTATTATCATTCAAAATTTATTCTTTAATTCTCAATTGTTAGGGTTACAAGAAGGTAACATTGTAACAATATTGCGTGACACTGTCACGACCTCGTGGTCCGCTGACGACTCTGTCTTCTTATATTAAATATATCTTGTTGGTCCGACATCTTGGTTTTGTATGTGTTCTCCTCTACATTGCCCGATCTGGCTTGTTACAAACATAATCTTATACATGTAGCTGTATCGAAAAGAGAGAATAAGAAGACACACCTAGACTGTTGGTCTTGATCAGAGTAACAAAATGACAGCGACAAGGCACCACAGAAGGAGAGGAAGATTACAGTGAAAACTGCCATTGATCTTGTCACATCGTGCAAAATGATCTTAGCCAACGTTTGCGTGTACAATCCTGTGGTCCTGAAGTAGTTCAATAATTCGGTTTATTCAAAGATTTCAAAGGAAAAATGTAAAGGGTAAAAAGGTAACGTAGTAACGAATACGAAGTGCTTAAGGTAAATCTAAATTTCTCATTAAAATAGAACTATGTAGCTTTGTTCTCTAATTACCTTGTAATACAGGAAAACTTAAAAATCCTCAAAAAGTTGAATAAGAAAGATAAGGATGCCACCAACCACTGCACTTTGTTATCAGTGTACCGTAAAGGTATTATGCACAAGATCAACACCAGGCCAAACCAGTCAAACAGATTCATCCACTCTGTGAAATATGACAGCCTCTCTCTGGAAGAATTTAAACAAAATTTGAAAAATTCACAACCCATCAGCCACGATTCGGTGAATTTCTGTGGATTTTCAATTCATGGACTTAAATTGCTTCTGTTAACGGCTATTTGAAAATTAGGTGAATGCATCTCTCTATAGGGCACCGCAAAAGTGGAAACAAATCATCGTCATCATCATAATTTATTTGCCTTTTAAACAACACACACAAAAAATTTTTTTACGGCATTATAATTTATAGAGGGCGAGGAGACCTAGGAATGGCATGGCCAAATTATAGACAGTCTAGTTTTCCTTAGTGAAACAGAACACCCTGAACATGAATAGTTTAGCCAAATGAGAAACGGTCTAGTAGCCCATGTTGAGTTGGAACATGAGATTGTGAAATGGACTAGCTCAACTACGAATAGCTTAGCACTCATTTGCAATAAAGTACTCAAACGGTGTAGCGTTGCGTTAAACGGCTCAGGGTAACGTCGAGTAGCACAGCCTACGCACAAACGGTGTAGCGTTGCGTCAAATGGCTCAGCGTAATGTAGAATGGTACAGCGATATTGCATTTATTCGTTTTCGTTCATGATAGTGTTAATTAAAATAGCGAGACTGGATTCTACCACGGTTTACCGGCCTCCCGGTTTACCGCAGTTTGCACGTGTTGGTGGGCCTGAATATGTTTATAGTATTAAGAAGTGTTATGACGTGCATTAAATGTCAATTGTCGAACTCCCTTTTCTTTCTGTGACTCACGCTTACTTTTCAATGAGAGTCCAACTTCAACGGCTCTTTGAACACTGGAGGAGTACGTGAGAAGTTGAATATTGTGTGTGCCCTGGACGCCATGGTAAAAAACTGATATCCTTGATCTGTTTTGACATTTTTCGATCAAAGTGATATCGGAATGCTTTAATTGGTGTGCCGGACGATAAGAGTAAGCTCATAGAAGACTGTTTATATTTATTATTTTAAAGAGGTGTACATTATATTGCTTTGTTTATTAATTTTTTCCTGGGTGCTGTGATAGTAAAAGTAAGTTCCATTTTTATTTTGTCGATCAAACGTAGATTACATGTCTGGACCGGAAACAGTTAAAGGGTTTTTTCGCGTTCCAAAAATAGTGTTTGTCAAGGGAATATTTTTTTCTGAGTTGGTTTTGCGCGCATACATACTTCCCTGTGCTCTTTCCCATTCCGTAGTCATCACGTATTAAGGAAGGCTAGTGCGGACATTGTAATGCACGTAGTTGTACGTAATTGTACAACTCTAGGTCGAGTTTTACCGTTCGATCTGTTAAAGTCGCAACTTGCTGAATAAAAACTATTGTATAATTCAGACAATTGACAGGAAATCTTGCTGTTTCGTCGTTTGTTTCGGTAGACGTATTTATTTATATTTTTATTTATTTTTACATTTTTGTACCTCAACTATTAATTTTTGTGATTATTATTATTATTTTTATTATTATTATTGTTACAGACTGAGTTCAATACACACTAGATATATTGACTAGAGTTGCGTGACTTCTAACGTTTCTCTTCTTGCCTTTAGGGCTAAGCAAAGAAAACTTCCAGATGATGAAAAAGCAAAGAAGAAAAAAAAAATAGTGCTTGCTTTATAAGTGGCTCGTCTCCATCTTATGAATTTTTTTCTTCACAGGTATCGTTGTTTGTTGTCCTTCAGTACTGTTAAGAGTCATGGACTTTCGTCAGCATTTATCAGATTCCCTAAATGAAATAACTGAATATATACAAGAAGGCGGAAATCGTGGAGGTAATTTAGAGAATACTGTTTTAAGACTGGAGGTTCTTTACGAGGCAGCGTTGATCAATGGGGACATTCCTTTAGATGCGGTTGACTTAATCAATCAAGCTCGTACACACCTGAACGTAAACTTGCATCAACAAGAGCCTTTTCGTGGGTATGAAGCACCAGCAGTGAGTGAGGCAGGTCGTCGAGGAAGACCTAAGTTTGCGATTTCCGAGAAGCAGCTGCTATTCTTCAGAGGTAAGGAGGAAAAAGTGTTTTTCCCATTTTCAGGTTGAAAATTTGAAATGAAAATAAGGTAGACACATTTGAAACTATCCATATATGCCCCATATGAAGTGAGTGCTTTTTTTTTCCGAGTTGATAGGTTTCGCCAAACCACGTTTTTTGGTTATTCATAACATCTTTAGTGAGCTCACCTTTTGAAGGTTTCATTCAATTTTGAGTGTAAACTATCTACTCTCAAAGGACTGTGTTTTCTTTTATGACCACTATTTATCTTTTTGTTAGAGAACAACTTCACGTATAAAGACATGGCTCTAATGCTTGGGGTTAGCAAGCGAACTATTGAAAACCGTATGGCCGAGTACGAGTTGACGAACAAGTCCTGCTACAGTGACATAGAGGACGATTTCCTGGATTCTTTAATCCAGCGTATCATGACAAATTTCCCTGGATCGGGTAAGTAAGTCTTCATAAAAATTTTGAGGCTGTGGCCGGTCATGTTCAGTCAAAAAATAAAGATTTTTTTTCCCTTAGCTTGGTAAAAATAGTTTGAGAACCAGTACATAATGACGCAACAATTTATTCCTCTGGAACTAGACATGATAAACATCTGAATCGGGAAATTTTCTCGTTTGCCTTTATTTCTTTCAGATTGCATAAATTAATTAAACCTTTTCGGCCGATACGCGTTATTGCTTGAACACCTCAAGAAACGTAGACATTATCACACTTAGCAAACGCAAACATGCTTCTTTTAGTATAGACGTACACTCGAGACCGTTTCTGAAAATCCCGTATGCTGTTCTCTTCCAGTATATTGATTCAAAACGTAATCAACTTACAGGCAAGAGCTTTTAAGCCCGCCGTAGTGTTTACACAAAATTTTGCATATCAGAAACACACTTTGTATCCTCTAAACAGAGAATTCAAGAAAGAACGACAAGTGGCATTAACTTCACTACTGTGTGACAGGGTGCTTGAAATTAAAACCCTTATTTCTGTTGACAGGTTGCAAAACAATCGAGGGTTACCTTGTTTCGCAAGGTGTACATGTGCAGAGGTGGAGACTAAGGAGTGCCATAAAGAGAGTCGATCCCATTGGTAGGAGGCTAAGGTCTATGAATGCCATCCGTAGACGAGTGTATAACGTACGTTCCCCACTGGCCCTCTGGTATATGGACGGGAATCACAAACTGATACGGTAGCTGTCACTTATCTCACTATTTTGATGATATAATTGTTGCTGTAATTCAGGTCTCAATAACTTTGCACCATTTGTTTTAGGAGTAACCTCCCCCCCCCCCTCCCCCCTCCATATACTTTCGGTTTACCACTCTATTCCTTCTCTTCTTAGATGGCGATTCGTGGTTCACGGCTGCATTGACGGTTACAGTCGCTCCGTCGTTTATCTTAAGTGCGATACGAATAACACGTCTGTCACAGTCTTGCGTCTCTTTGAGGGTGCGGTGTCTGAATGGGGATTGCCATCACGAGTCAGGGGCGACATGGGAGTTGAAAAAAGAGACGTGGCACACTACATGTTGAACCATACAGCAAGAGGGCCCGGAAGAGGGAGTTACATCACCGGACGAAGCGCGCACAACTCGCGTATAGAAAGACTCTGGCGCGATGTGTACCAGTTAGTCCTATCCTCATTTTACGACCTTTTCCTTTCTCTCGAAGCATGCGGTCAGCTCGATCCGGACAACGAAGGGCATCTATTTTGCCTTCACTTCACTTATCTCCCAATAATCAACGAGGCCCTTTCAAAATTTGTGCTATCCTGGAATAATCACAAAATACGTACTGCAGGAAACAAAAGTCCTTTACAACTGTTCATACTAGGGATGCAAGAAATTGCGGAAGAAAGTGGTATTGTGGCATCAGAATACTTTCAAAACCTTAGTCAGGTAAACGCAATAATGCATATGACAGACACAGTTCCCCAAGCATTAAAGCCACACGGGTGAACAATCTCAAGTGGCCTCTACTAAATATTGAGTTTTAATTAACCACCCCTTCAATTTAAATATAGATCACGATCGAAACGATGCCAAGATTCCTTGCTTGCAAAGTTAAATTAAGGCAGTCATAACCAATGCTTTGCGGTATTTGAATCTCCTTTCAACTATATTTCAGAGGGACTTGGAGGGATACGGTTGTGGATCCTACGGCTTACTTCATGACGGCACAGATGATGCACTACAGAATGAGGTTGTCGTCCCACCGACACGGTGTCCGTTAGATGTTGAGTCGTTTACGATTTTTGAGGCAAGCATTTCAGAAGTCCAAGGCGAAGATCCATGGGACATTACACCATATCTGCATGCACTGGAAACGATGAATCGTCTGAAAACCTAGGTTTTAACATTTTGTATAATGCACCAGTGTACGCCACTTACGTTAAAGTATCTCCCCCCCCCCCATCCTATCATCTTACTTTTCAATTTCGTTGGACAATGTGTTGTTTTTTTGTTTATTTCGGTTACACCGGGAAAATGAGTACACTTGGCATCACTCATAATGTATCCTATCGTAATCTGCGATTTCATGTCAGCTTGCGATAACCCCAACCTAAGCTGAGTGGAACTGGTGCTGAAATAGTGAGAGGGTGTAACGTCTGACTATGA